ATTACAATATTACAATATTACAATATTACAATATTACAATATTACAATATTACAATATTACAATATTACAATATTACAATATTACAATATTACAATATTACAATATTACAATATTACAATATTACAATATTACAATATTACAATATTACAATATTACAATATTACAATATTACAATATTACAATATTACAATATTACAATATTACAATATTACAATATTACAATATTACAATATTACAATATTACAATATTACAATATTACAATATTACAATATTACAATATTACAATATTACAATATTACAATATTACAATATTACAATATTACAATATTACAATATTACAATATTACAATATTACAATGTTACAATACTGCAATATTACAATATTTGCTCAAAACTCAAAACATTTCGGTTTTTCCTAAAACTCTTAAATAAGAGGAGTCATGATTGACCATAAAAGATTTCAGTCTAACGTGCAGTTTACTTAAGTTCGACATACTATATGTATCTATCTATCTGTCTGTCTATCTATACTTAAGTTTGACGTCCTATCTATGTATCTATCTATCTGTCTGTCTATCTATCTATCTATCTACAGTGAGAGCCAGAAAATCGTGGAATAGGAAGACAACATGAAAGCAATATTTAAAGTGTATTTGATGTTTTTACAAAGCATTATAAAAAAAAATCAATTATAAAGTGATATAGTTTGCCGCACAATGAATAATTGCTATCTCTTATATACATTTCACTGTTTAAAATCATGACTTGAGTCTAAAAGTCGTCTCCCTTCCATAGTTTTTTGGGTCTCACTCTAACTAATATTTAATATCAATGTATTTATCCATCTTTAATCAATGATATTGCATGGTAGGTTGTACAATTGTACATATATTTGTCTGATTCTATTTTTTTTATTTGTACATATATTTGTCTGATTGTATTTTTGTACATTTGTGCATATATTTGTCTGATTGTATTTTTGTACATTTGCAACATATATTTGTCTGATTGTATTTTTGTACATTTGTGCATATATTTGTCTGATTTTATTTTTGCACAATTGTACATATATTTGTCTGATTGTATTTTTGTACAATTGTACATATATTTGTCTGATTGTATTTTTGTACATTTGCAACATATATTTGTCTGATTGTATTTTGTACATTTGTACATATATTTGTCTGATTGTATTTTTGTACATTTGTGCATATATTTGTCTAATTGCATTTTTGTACATTTGCACATTTCTACATATATTTGTCTGATTGTATTTTGTACATTTGTTCACATCTTTTATTATCTTTTATCTCCATTCTTTCCAGCGACAATTCTTTCAATTATAAGTTTATTCGTTCACCTGGCTGAACGAACTTTCCCCTTTTGTATTGTGCGTCTAGAATTGACAAACTTAATCCAAGCCGATGTTTGAACTGCTTTCCTCCTGGTATCCGACTAATATATTGCCTGAACAGCTGATCCCGGCCTTACAAACTGCAGAGTACAGAATATATAGTGCACTCTGTGAACTTGAAATTAAATCTTATTTAACTAGCTTGTACTACTACTACATAGCAGCTAGTATACAAATTGTGAAAAGTTTTTAAAGAATTATTGTTTTTTTTTTTAATTTTGAGAATAGACGGTAGATGAATATAAATTTTAACTGAACCAGCTGTTAATGAACTAAAGAAACTAAACGTTTGAACATGTTTAAAGTTCTCCGACTAGGATTTGTAGCAGGGGTTGGGATATCGGGTTGGGTTGGCGGAGGGATTTATGAGAGGCGGAGAAGAGAACATAGAGAACATCAAGAGCACATACATCGGGAACATAGAGATATTAGAGACTATGAAATGTTGGGTAGGATTCCTGGTCTACCTCTAGGACCTAAGGTAACTTTTCTTTATATTTATTTGTGTTCCTAACATTTCAAATTTCAAATAATTTGCTTGAAACAAATTATTTAAAAAATGGATTCATTAAAAGTGCAAGAGGGAACCCTTTTTCTTCTTAAAATATATATGTAGAGTAAAAGAAAATCTTTGCAGTTATCTTTTCGTACTGGTCGCTGATTAATTATCATGCTCAAACTTTTAAATCCTCATATTTGACTGATATTTCAACCTTTCACTATTTGGATTCACAGTTAGAAATATCAAAGGTTGCAAAGATAAAAGGATTAAGAAATTAAAGTTTGTGATAAGTAAAATAAGTTTCTTTGACATAAGAAAATTTTTGAATGATTTTTATACATTTCAGTAGGAAATTTCAAAAATTCTACATGGCATATGCATGTGAACAAAATTGTTTTGTACTTCCAAATTGTAGATTATTACTATTATCGCTGTCATTGTATTAGGTCTCCGCCGCTACAGCTATAGTACCTGCCGGAGAACGAGGAGTGGCGGTTGCCGATATTCCGCCAGAACCGGTTAATGCTCCCAGAGTTGCGCAGATTATGAGGAATTCGATTCTATCATTTTTATACCAAAATCTGTTTGAAATGAATTTAAACAATACTTTAAAATTCTTTCAATTTTCAGACAGTCAACTTTTTTTGTTTTTCTATAATCTTCATTATCTCCAAGCAATTTTTGAAAATCTTTGACATTTTTTGACAATTTTGACATTTTAACAATTTTTGACAATTTTTGACAATTTTTGACAAATTAATGAATAAAGGATTGAACCTTAAGGTTTGGTTTCCCTGGATTGGATCATGTTAGATCTCATGCTGATTATGTTCTAAGGTAAACCCAATAATCAGCTAGGTTTTAAATTTAAAAATATTGTTGCTATTGCTAAAAAGAACTCGTGTTCTACCAAAACTTTATGACGTGTGTACTGACATTTTTCAAGTGTACTTTTCAAAAATCATAACAGACGATTTGGTGAGGAAGTTAACATTAAAATAAAGATCATTACATCATAGTTGTCTATACAGTATACATGTTTTTAAACAAAACTTCTTTCTTGAAAAGCAAATTGAAATCAGCTTATGCAACTAGGGTTTCCAATGCGCAATTGCGCAATAATTGCTCAAAACCTGCTCTGTCGCTGGCTGACTTATCTGTAATTAAAAATTCATCTTATTGCATGCCACAACAAGAAATCGTATTAGAAGGACAAAATTATTTGCCAGCGTCTTTGTGGTAATGGATTTTAGAAGAATAGTACACATTTGAGCATTTTCTCAAAGGCTAGTTTTTTTTATAATTATCTTCGAAATATATTTGTTATCAGTATTAAAGGCAATTTTTAACAAAATTTGATCAAAATTTCTTGAAATTGAATAAAACGTTATTATGTAGTTAAAAAAATTAACTTTTTTTACTTTTTTAGAGTTGACGTTTTCTTTATGTGGGGGGTTAGTGTTGATGTTTTCTTTATATGGGGATTAGAGTTGACGTTTTCTTTATATGGGTGTTAGAGTTGACGTTTTCTTTATAAAGGGCCGGGTTAGAGTTGATGTTTTCTTTGTATGGGGGTTAGAGTTGACGTTTTCTTTATATGGGGTTTAGAGTTGATGTTTTCTTTGTATGGGGGTTAGAGTTGACGTTTTCTTTATATGGGGGTTAGAGTTGACGTTTTCTTTATATGGGTGTTAGAGTTGTATAAAATTGTATACTGTTTCCTGAGATTTTATTTTAGAAATTGAGAAATATATCACATTTTGCTCGCAGGGGTGTTAATAATCTCACTTTCTCTTGTACACTTTTACATTACAATATTGTATAAAAACGAACAAAAAGTTTTAATTTTTTTACGTATTATTATTTAGTTTGTGAACGTTGAAGCTTTACTTTGATATATTTTAAATTTCCATTTCCGAAATAAAACCCAGCACAACTAGAATAAACCCCAACCCAAATAGAATAAATCCCAACCCAGCTAGAATAATCCCCAACCCAACTAGAATAAATCCCAACACAACTAGAATAAATCTCTTTGTTTTTGTTTAATACTCCTAAGCTCTAAACCATCTCTTGGCACTAGTCCTCACCAGCACTTGAATGAGTTGAAACCACTTTATCTAACTCTACAAAATCGTTTAATTCCTTGAAGAGAAATAATATCAGAGTTCTTATTCTCATTTTAAAAATAAAGTATTAAACAAATATTGTTAACTATTCATTTATCATATTTAAATAAAGAATTTTTAGTTTCATAAGAATATATAAGAAAATATTTCTGAGCTTATATTTTAAGTAATTTTAAGTAAAATGTCACATTGATCGAAAGGTTGCGACCTTCTCACGCAAATAGAAATTTAATTTTTCCCCATTCTCGTATTATCTAACCCCTTTCTGTATTCAGTTAGATCAAATAATCTAAATTTAAAACATCTGGTAGAAAAGATAAAGGGAATAGAAAATTTTAGTTTGTGGCAAAAACTCAGTTCCATTCTGAGAATTTTGCCTAATACTTTTTTAATCCTTAGAAATTCAGAACATTTTTGTTCTTCCCCGGAGCTACTTTATTAGAAAAGTTGTGATTGAAAACATAAAAGAGTTGAAACTTGCGTAAAATAATTCTTAAATGGAACAAATCTCGGCCATTTATTTGTGTGTTTATTGTAAAAATTTATACGCATTTTAGAAGAGCCGCGGACACAGATTGGAAAGGAACTAAGTTTTGCCACAAACTCAAATTTTCTAATTCCTATATCTTTCCAACCTGGTTGTGAACATCCTTTATATTTCAAACTATTTGATCAAGTATAATATGGTTTGAAATATTTAAGGTCATACAGCATTGGGTTGCAAAGATATAAAACAGAGTTTATGACAAAAACTCCTATAAGATAAAAAACGTATCTACTATTGTGTTTATTCTGTATTGCGTTAGATCTTTATATCAAAGGAAAGTTGAAAGAACACAAAATGTTTATTTCTTTAATCTTCAGAAAACAACAACAAACTTTTCACATGTATGTTCCATTTCAGTAACATAAGTGAAAATTACGTTCGTTATAAAATCATTTAAACTGCAGTATTTACACTTTATTTTAATTAAATTTTACAATATTTTTAGATATTTATATGATATCAGATGGAAATATTTTGAGATTTTTATATTATATTGTTCTTCATTTTCTTCTTGTTAGTACATCTTTCAATCATATTCGGCTAATTTAAAAAAATTAAAAGAAATGAAGTTTTGTAATGATGTCCTTGTAGTTCGCCACTTTACAAGAAAGAACTATTTTTAAAGTATCTTGTTTTTTTCCTGGCCCTATATTTAATTGAACTAGCTGTAGATCTTGCTTTCTTTCTCGGAACTCTTTTTAGAATTGTTTACTCTTGAATTGCATCTGACTAAGCAAAACACAATTTCCATGGTATATTCTTGTGGGAGGGGAGGGGGGGGGGGGGGGGGGAGCAATCATATCCTCCTCCCCCTCCCCTGGGGGGAACGTCTTCCAAGCCCCCATCTCCTTCCTTCCAATCAACTCCTTACCTATCCAAAAACATATCTTGATATGTGTAACCAATTATATTCAGTATCATTACTTCGGGCCAACCACTCAAAACAACCAACCCTAGTTAGGCGGGTCCAAACTGCATAGTAAATTGTGTTTGCTTATTTGTAATATCTCATGCTTTGTAGTTGAATAAATATATGAAATGAATGAAAATCTCTAATATCAAGAGATTTACCTTCCAATTTTTCCTTTTCCATTTTCTTTTTTCTTCTTGCTTTTTGTTTCTTATTTCTAAATTTTGAGGCCTCTCCAAATAGTTCTTTTGACATCGAGTTGTGGAGCAGGTAGAAGAGAGATAATGGGATTTCTCCCTGTTTTCCTTCAATTATACTCTTTCCGAGTTAAGGGAAAGAAGGAAACCCATAACTGCACCCCTTATGTAAAATGGGGAGTTGTAAGCCCTGAAGCCACAATGAAAGGAATCTTCTACAGCAGTCCAGTCCTCACAGCTGGTCGAGTAATAAACCAGCATCTCGTTGTGCATGGCTTGTATACCCATCAGGGGTTAAAATCCTTCTTTCAGTTACACCAGGCTGAAGATGAAGTCTTGTTTTATTCTATTTACATTCCTTACATCCACTGTAGGATACGCGCTGTGTTTAGTTAGATATCTGTTCAGTTATAATTGTCCTACACAAATAACTATTAATCATATCTGTTTAGTTATGATCGTCCTACACATAGAACTATTGTTTATATCTGTTTAGTTATGATTGTCCTACACATAGAACTATTGCTTATATCTGTTTAGTTATGATTGTCCTACATATAGAACTATTGCTCATATCTGTTCAGTTATGATCGTCCTACACATAGAACTATTGCTTATATCTGTTCAGTTATGATCGTATTGCACATAGACCTATTGTTTATATCTGTTTAGTTATGATTGTCCTACACATAGAAATATTGCTCATATCTGTTTAGTTATGATCGTCCTACACATAGAATTGCTCATATCTGTTTAGTTATGATCGTATTACACATAGAACTATTGCTTATATCTGTTTAGTTATGATCGTCCTACACATAGAACTATTGCTCATATCTGTTTAGTTATGATCGTATTACACATAGAACTATTGCTTATATCTGTTTAGTTATGATCGTATTGCACATAGAACTATTGCTAATATCTGTTTAGTTATGATCGTCGGAATCGAGTTCCTCACTGGGTCTTTGAACACCTTACAAAGGTAAAGAAAGAAGTTTTTATTAGCAAACATTAGGGTAATTTCCGAGAAATTTATTCCCAAACCCCCCCATTAATTTTGTACAACCCTCTCATTTGTAACAAACGGGGATAGTTGGACATGCAACGTAGCTGCGTTGCTTGGCCCCCTAGCCTGTCCTAGCCGCAGCGCTCAACCCTTAAATTGTCATACCCCAACCTCACCCTAAAATAATACAAATTAAAAATTAATATTTTCTGGTTGAAATCGAGGGATTATGTACCAAATATATGGAAGGGGGTTGTGGAGTCCTTAATTGCTTCCAGAAAAAAAAGACGATTCAAGTGATCAAATTCAAATCAATTTTTTAAACACCTTTTTAAAAAACAAAATATACTACATCAGCAACGTTACGGCTGCTTAGAATTGACTTCAAATTAGATATAATTCCATTAATGTGTTTTAAATAAATAATAAAATGAACCCTATTCAGTCTATTCTATCTGATATTTCTGTTTAAAGGGAACCTAAGCATAATTTACGTGACACTCAATACAAATATAGCAATGCCTGATTTACAACTGTACCCTTGAAGCATTAATCTGTAAAAAAATATAAAGGATACCTTTAATAAATATCGGGTCACATGATATTCCATAAACTTGCAGTATATTGTAACTACGCTTACAGTCCCTTTAAAATGTATTTCAACTATATAAGATCCCAAAACTGCTTTTATTCCATGGCTTCGTAAAGCATAAAACATTTTTCAAATATAAATGATAGAATTGCCGATCGATTCAATATTCAACTATGGCCAGCCCCTTTAATTTATCATTAACAGTCCCTTTAATTTAGCATTAACAGTCCTATTAATTCATCATTAACAGTCCCTTTAATATATCATTAAAGTCCCTTTAATTTATCATTAACAGTCTCTTTAATTTATCATTAACAGTCCCTTTAATTTATCATTAGCAGTCCCTTTAATTTATCATTCACAGTCCCTTTAATTTATCATTTAAAGTCCCTTCAATTTATCATTAACAGTCCCTTTAATTTATCATTAACAGTCCCATTAATTTATCATTAACAGTCCCTTTAATTTATCATTAACAGTCCCATTAATTTATCATTAACAGTTCCTTTAATTTATCATTAACAGTCCCATTAATTTATCATTAACAATCCCCTTTAATTTATCATTAACAGTCCCTTTAATTTATCATTAACAGTCCCTTTAATTTATCATTAAAAGTCCCTTTAATTTATCATTCACAGTCCCTTTAATTTATCATTAACAGTCCCTTTAATTTATCATTAAAAGTCCCTTTAATTAATCATTGACAGTCCCTTTAATTTATCATTAAAAGTCCCTTTAATTTTTCATTAACAGTCCCTTTAATAGACGTATTTTTAGGATTCCATACAGAAGTCTGAAGGTGTAGAGAGGTCTAACAGCGAGTTTAAGGAACAGTCTCTTGATTTCAAATTTGACGAGAATATTTTATATTTGTTATTTTGTCTGGTGATAAACCGGCACAGAGGGGCAGGGGGGCAGTTTACTCACAATTTATAGAAAATTACCTCACTTTTCTCAAACCTATACTGTAAATATAAAGATACATACAGGGATCCAAGAATGTAAGGCAAGGAAAGTCAATTGCGGTTGTGTATACTCTGTGTACATATTGAAACCAGTTCTCTCTGGGGGGAATTTGTAAACAATAATAGATGCATCAGTGTTCGTTTAGTATCCGAGGAGGTTAAAAGCATTAAATTTTGATGATTTTGATAATTCACATAATAATTTCCTATGACCAGAATATTTCATTGATTTTATATGTGAATGATGGATCCCATGTCAGGCTTCGACATCCGTCTTGTGTTTACATTAGCGCCCAGAGACAGTACACTGCAGTACTAAAGATGTGTACACTTCTGAAATGACTTTCCTTGCCTTACATCCTTGCAGGGATCGAGACGCAAGAAAATATCCTACAATTCAAATATTGATTTAATATGCAAACTGAAAATATTCAAAAATACTTCAATGAGACACATAAACTTTGAAATATGTGGACGACCGTAAAAACTCAAGATTTGATTTCAAATACTCCAATAAACACAAAAATATCTTAGTTGTGCAACAGAGCAGTCGTCTTCCTTTTAGCAGTACACTTTTATATACACTTTTATGTACAGTTTTATGTACAGTTTACGTACAGTTTTATGTACAGTTTTATGTATGTACAGTTGTATGTACAATTTTATGTACAGTTTTATGTACAGTTTTATGTACAGTTTTATGTACAGTTTTATGTACAGTTTTATGTACAGTTTTATTTACAGTTTTATGTGCCTCACCGTAATTATTAAGAATCATGTTAAAGGTTATGTTTTATAAAAATGAAGAGTGTGAATTGTTTTGTAGGAAGATACATCGATACATGAATTCTTTAGAGCAAAAAATTCCGACTACAAGCACAGCGGGTACGACAGGGGACATATGGCTCCTGCTGGAAATCATAGAAGGTTAGAACAGTGGTTTTAATAAGGGACTATAGCCAAACTAATTTGTAATTTGATTTCTGAATTTTAGTTTGGGACATCACTTTTAACTAAAATCTAAGCGTTAACAAATTTGTTTAATACGTTTTAATTATCAATGAAGTAATTTTTCGAAGAAACTCATTTCAACAATAAAAAACATTCATGTAGATCTTCATATATTTTGTGTCGGTATTCTTTATGTAATAGCAAAAGTTTTAACAGATTAAATATTTATTAATTTTAGAAATCAAAATATGTGTGATGAGACTTTCTACCTTTCCAACATGGCTCCTCAGGTTCAACATTTTAAACTTAAAACTTGTTTTTTATTTATTAGTTTGTCCTTACTCTCTTCAAATTATTTTCTCTTCCATAAGAAAAATTATTGTAATTTAACGTATCCTAAAAATGCAATACGGGTCGTCCCAGAATATATGGGGATTAAGTGACGGGTTGTCCTAGAATATATGGGTATTAAGTGACGGGTTGTCCCAGAATATATGGGAATTAAGTGACGGGTTGTCCCAGAATATATGGGGATTAAGTGACGGATTGTCCCAGAATATATGGGGATTAAGTTACCGGTTGTCCCAGAATATATGGGGATTAAGTGACGGGTTGTCCCAGAATATATGTGGATTAAGTGACGGGTTGTCCCAAAATATATGGGGATTAAGTGACGGGTTGTCCCAGAATATATGGGAGTTAAAGGGGATTAAGTGACAGGTTGTCATAGAATATATGGTAATTAAGTGACGGGTTGTCCCAGAAATTATTGGAATTAAGTTACGGGTTGTCCCAGAATATATGGAAATGAAGTGACGGGTTGTCCCAGAATATATGGGGATTAAGTGACGGGTTGTCCCAGAATATATGGGAATTAAGTGACGACTTCTAAATATTGAATTTGTGCAGCATTAATTCGTAAAATTAATTTTAGTACTAATTTAGTTCAAACAATCAATACCAAAAACTAATGGTCTTGGGATTACAAAAATATGTTCCCCCATTTTTGGCGGAGATATTGGAAGATCCAATCTACAGGGTGTCCCAATAAACATGGGAATTCAGTGACGAATTCGATATCGTCTTTTTAAATAATTCTTTGATTTAGTATAGTGATACCTACTGAGAAAGCTGTAATCCGTAAGAATTTCGTCTGCTATGATCATATTTTGTTTGTTTATGTTTTGACTGCATACAGTTGTACTTAGTAAAACAAGAAAATTACAATAGACAAACAGAGTAAACTTGTCCGTCTTCACTGTTCATCTTACGGAGACATTATAGACACATCTTTACAGTCTTTAAAATAAACTCTAGCAGACATAATACTATTATGGCTTTTGAAATTAGGTATTACAATGCTAATTCATAACAAAGACGATATCCAATTCGTCTTTGTTATTCCCATGTTTTTTGGGACACCCTGTATTTAAAACAAGTTCTGATGTGCAATAGTTATATCAATTTTGAGAATTCAAAGAGGTCAGACCACATTTTCGAAAGCTCATAAGATGTAAGACACTCTTTCTCATTTATCAACTAAAGGAAAGAAGATTTTTATTTTGTCTGTTCAATGATTTCTATATCTATCTATATTTTTGTTTTGACCAGCATGGGTCAAGATCTGTTTTTATTAACGTGGAATGTTTTGTTTATATTTTATTTAATTATTATATTTTAGGTTGGAAAAGGATTTAACAGAGATAAATGGGAACATTTAGAAAGGTAAAACAAAATTGAGTATTTGCCACAAACTCTAATTTTATAATCCCTTTTTTCTTCTTGATACCTTTTATATTTTAAACTTGTATGTTTTGATCTAACATAATTCCTTTTTTAATAAATCAAAGGTTTACTACATTGGGTTCCACAGAACTAGGGATTGAGTTTTTTTAGAGTCTTGAAGTTTAATGTAGTTTGATTTTTTTTTAGAAAAAATATCAATTTATCTAAAATTGCATCAGATAAAATTTCTTAAAAAATTGATTAATACTAATATACATATACATATGTAGTATGTACATACATGCATTATATACTGTAAATATGGTAGGCACACGAAAAATCTGTATAGCGAGGAAACTGATAAAACTGTACAAGAATGTTTATATATGTACTGTACATATTGTAGGTACGCGAGGAAACTGACAAAACTGTACAAGAATGTTTATATATGTACTGTACATATTGTAGGTACGCGAGGAAACTGACAAAACTGTACAAGAATGTTTATATATGTACTGTACATATTGTAGGTACGCGAGGAAACTGACAAAACTGTACAAGAATGTTTATATATGTACTGTACATATTGTAGGTACGCGAGGAAACTGACAAAACTGTACAAGAATGTTTATATATGTACTGGACCTCTCTATCTACCCAGGAAAGAAGCTAGTGATGGGAAAATGTATGTTAAATACGAGGTAAAATATAAAAAATGTATCCGTCCTAACTTTTTTATTTTTTTTCTATAGGTTATCAAAGGGGCACCTGATTCATCATTCTAGGTTATCTTAAAACGCCGTATATCGTCCCAACCTAAATCTATATTTCAGGTTTTCGGAGAAACCGAAAAACTCAGATATTAGTCCAAACCTAAATATGATTAATGGAAAAAACATATTCGTCTCAGCCTAATCTATTAAATTTTATCTAGGATATTAGATAACCCTATGCAGGCATCTGATAATGAGATAAACTCATAAATCGTCCCAATCCTGTTATTTATACTGTCGGAGAAACGCAAGAAACTAATCCATGTATTATCAATTCCAGATTATTGACGGAAACCAGACTACAGAACCTGATTCTTTAGTCCAGGATATGGGTTAACATCGTGTTTTATTTCCGGTTATATCTGTTTTCAGAGAAATCGTCACAATCTACTTCTTTTCCGTATCATTTTGATTCAAAGGTTGCAAGCTTTGAAAAATAATTCAAATGCTTTTCTAAAACTAAAGCTAAAACATGTGCTTTACTGTTCTAGAACCTACATGTCTATGGCTACAAAAAAGTATAAATTTCCGAGCTCTCTGGAATATTTGAGATTTAATTTCAAACTATTTCGTTTTCCAGGTTATCGGAGCCAACAATGTATCCGTCCCAACCCACTTCTTTAAAGTTATTGTCGGAGAAACAGAAGATCATCAACTAGAGCTAGAAGCATACGTTCTACCAAACCAGGTCGGATAATATCAAAGGGTTTAAAAGGAAAATGAAATGGGTTTTAGGTTTTTTAGAGCGGGGACTATTTTAAATAATCCTACACAATTCTCTAATATGTTGTAAGATATAAACTGTAGAGTAAAATGTAGGATGAATTAGAATCAAATTGGTTTTGTTCCTGGAAGAGAAATTGATATAATCTCATTCCATAGATTCTAGAATTCTTTTTAAGTGACACATCCTGAAGTTAAAACTACCATTTTGTTTATAAGAAAGGAACTTGTTTACATGCAACCTGAAAACTGAAGTTCATTTTTAAAAAATAAAAAATGAAAATTTCTGGTTTATTTTTCTTCGAAATATTCATTTCTGAAGTGTGTAAGTTAGACCAATAAATAAAAAAAGAATATAATCATGATTTTGAATATTTGAATAACCAGAGTAATGTTAACCCTTCACTTTGATTTTGAAGCTATACTAGTCAAAATATTTGCTTTAGAAGAACATCAATTACAATTAGATTTCTTAAATTGTTAAACCCCAATCACAAACTCAAGGAAAACCACGGTCATTTTTTGAAAAGTCTTCTAGGGACATTTTTAACAATCTTTATACAGGGTTGCCCACAAAGAATGAGACTCTAGAGACGATTGTACGGATTTTATTTAGTCCGTTTTCTTGCATTCATGCTTCCTTGTTGAGTTTAGACCAAAACTGGTTTATGTGCTTAATCATTTAGTAAACCATCAAAATACTCTATTGAAGACAGACACCAAACATCAAGGTTTAAATAGTCATATTTTTTAGTTTTGGGTCGTCTTTATAGTCTCACATTTTGTCGGTAACCCTGTACCTTGGTTCAAAACTTAAATATTTTTACATTTGAGATTTGTAAAAAATGGGATTGGAAAGGGTAAGGAATTGGTAGCAAGGGGGGGGGGGTAACGGGTGTAACGGGGGTAACGGGTGTATAAAGAGAGGTAAAATTTATTCATTAAAAATACTGTTTCTTAAAGGTTATCCCTGATGAAACTCCTCTGAATAATTTCCAAGTTCCTGTTGATAGTGTAGAGAGAGCTGCAGGACTCCTTTTCTTTGACAGGTCAACATTTTATTCAAAATAATAATTTTATCAATCTATTTGTGTCAGATTTAGGAAAAAAAGCACATTTAGATATTTTTAACTAATCAATAAAGCCAAAAATAGTTCTATACTTTTACTATTATTTAAATAAGGAAACATGTGCGGAGATTGCCGCAAATTATAAATATCAAAACTTTAGATTTGTTGAAAATTATTCATCAATTTTATTCATTTGATGTATTTTTAAATAAAAATTACTTTTTTATCATTAATCACCAATAAATAAAAAAACGGGAAATCAGAGTGAAACTGTACCTTTGTCAACAAAAAAAAAACTCAACGAAAAAAATATTTATTATATTTCATCTTTCTATTTAGCTATTTTTGTGCCTGGAAACCTTATCGGGACCCTTACTTACAAATCTATATAATAAAGCTCTTCGCTCATATGTCGATAATTTTTGTTGGCCAAACGGCTGGACAAAATTGGCTGACATTTTTTTAGGGAACCCATAGGTATCCCGGAGATACGATAAGCAACAAAAAAATGACAATATGAATTTTTTTAAAATACAATTTTTTTAATTCCACGGGCAACGCACTTTAGCTAGCAACATATAAATGAACCACTTGATATTTTTATTTTATTTTTTCTTATCATTATTTTATTTTAGGTTATCTCGTGATAAATTATCTAAAATTAACGGGAAGAAGATTGGTTGGTTTTGAAGAGAGTTATTATCGTAGATAAATAACAATACAGATAGAACACTAGATGTCGAATTTTCATGAATTAGGGTTTTTGTTCACAATAACCCTGAGGCAGAAGCCCAAAGGAGTTACGCGCATTGCTGCCTTGAATGACAAGACAGAGAGGGAGCATGCGCATAACTCCTTTTGGATTCTGAAGATGAGTTTTTGTTAACAAAAAGGCCCTAAATCTTAAAAAGACGACATCTAGTGTTCAATCTGTATTGTTTTTATAATCTATGGTTATGATCTTAAAACTTGAATAGGCAGAAATTTGTATACACCTAGTGATCTTTATACAATTTACACATACTTAAAGTACTGTAAAGTGTAAGCATACTTTTAAATGACCCTCCATACCAGAGATGTACAAGGAGGGGATATTGGGGATAAGCCCCCCCCCTCTATGGTTTTCAGGGGGTTTTCATGCCCTTACGGGTGCACAGCCCCCTGGGAAAACTCCTGAGTACGCCCCTGCTCCATTTTTTTATATTTTTTCTAACGTTACTCTTTAAACCTTTGACGGATCATCGAGGGTAGAGAACTCCGTGTGTTTATCTCTACAATAGTGTACATTGGTAGGCGATTATATCAATATAATGAAGACGACTTTTAATTAAGTGTATAAAAAAGTCCATTATTAGTCAAAGGATTTAGAGGGTGCTGTGGTCTGTGGTGAATCTCAAATACCATTCTACAAATGAAAGGTGACTTGAAATTACGCCTACAGTCCCTTTAAACAATGCAAAACAGTATAATTGGTTTAAGATTAAATATTGTAAAACCCTTTTTTGCGTGTTTCTATTTTTTAATTTAAATTCACACAATGACAACATTTTTTCTCCCAATTTAAATAACTTCTGACTTGTCAAAGCGTATTCGCGTTAAAAAAAAATCTGTTATGGGTTTCTTTGAACGGGGGAGAACATTTCTGTTGGTTCCAAGAGAACTTAAAAACTATAACTAAAAATAATCTCATTTTTTAATTTCATGAAATCAAATAATATATGATTTTTTTACATCTTATGAATTCAGAAATTTGATATTTTAATCATTCAAGAAAAAACAAGAAAAAAAAACAGTTAACTTGACACTCAGAATAAGCGTTTCCCATCAAATTTAAACACGTGTAACATGAAACAGATAATTGTAAATTGTTACAACTTTGACCGTCCCAAGATGTAACTTGCTATGTTGTTACTTATATAGATATATTTTACACATTGTATAAACTATTAGATAATATATAATTCTTATAACGATTAAGATTTTTATTTAATATTTGTGTTTAAGCTTAGAATTATCCAAATCTAAGTAAAGTTATCCAAACTATGCCAAGCAGTCCTGTAATTGTCCCGGCACGACATGCTACATTTTCACGAACGGTTTTTGACTGCCTTCTAACTGCCACTTGTTGCATAAAATACCCTTTCAGGGGTTAAGTTTTACAATTTTTAAAGAAATACTATAACTTTTAATAACATAAACATAAAATGAATTTCATATCCAAAGGATCCTTAAATATCCCTGAATACAGACGTCTGTTTATTGGTCGTGAACATAGAGAAAGGAAACGAAGAGGTAAAGCATTACCTTAGATGTACACAACCGACCACCCTATTAATCAAGGAGAATTAAATAGAAGGAGTGGGCGTTTGGCTTTCCGTACACTTTGCTGTGACGTTTTTGGACTGCTGAGGAACTAGTTTTTGCGTAACAACAATAATAAAGATTGTAAACAATAACACAAATGATAAACAGACATCTGGCGCATCTCTGGCGTTAAATGAAGATTCACCGTATACTAACTCATGTTTGTTAACATTAGATCGGCTGCCTTTATTATTGTTGTTACGTAAAAACTAGTTCTTCAACAGTCCAAAAACGTCACACCAAAGTGTACGGAAACCCTATTGCCCCCTCCTTCTATTCAATTCTCCTTGCTATTAATTGATTAATTGGGGGTCGGTTGTATACATCACAATTGGATTGTAAACACACGACTGTATACTGCAGTACATTCCAGTTTAATTGTTTGTTTATGTTAAGACTATTAAGACAAGAATGTCACAATTTTGCATCGTGAGAAAATGCACGAACAATTCTTCTTGGAAAATATTTTTTTTTTCAATTTCCAATACACCGTGGATGCGCTAGACTAGACCTTTTCAGGTTGGGTCGAGACTCCACTGTACAGAACTCAAGTTATATCGCCAAATTGTCAAATGTTAGCAGTCAAAATCCTCGAAATTGATCAATTCCATAAAATCACCCTTAGAAAAACGATCACTCTATATACAAGTGTACAGTGTTAGATACGTAAACGCAACGTGATGTACACAACCGACCAATCTATTAATTAATTAATGAGAAGGTCGGTTGTGTACATCTAAGGTAAGCTTTACCTCTTCGTTTCCTTTCTCTATAAATAAATAAATAAATAAATAATGATTTATTGTGATAAAATCAAATAGTGATTATCATTCACAGTTAATTATGAAACAAAAATATCGGTTCAGCGAGGGAGGGAGTCCAGAGTTCCTCAAATAGTAATCACCGCCTCCCAAATCTGTTTTTCGGCAAGCGTGCTCCTCAATTGGTAATCTCCACCACCTTAATTAGTAATCACCGTAAATTTTTGTTTTCTGTGATTTGAATTTAATGCACTTTTAACACAATTTTCGACATCTATCGGGGTTTTATGGCATCTCTATTGACTTAAACTAAATTTTCAAATTATTTTCAGATTTGTTTGGTCAACAAAAACTGAGAATCAAGGCACAGTTCATTATAGCCGAATCTTAGATCCAATTCGCCACTTAATGACTGCATTTCATGATTGGTGTCTAAATCCCATGTTTTAAGTCCAAATATGACAAATGATACATCATTAGAAAGCTCTTGTGCTCTACTTTTAGAATCTGCAAAAAAATTTGCAAATTTGCGAAAATTGAATTTTTTATCGCAAAATCCAGTTTTATAGTAAAAATGTTTGCAAAAAAAAATTTGTCCAAAAAATGACAAATCATACATTTTTGAAAAGCCCTTGACCATGCCATTTCAAATATGCAAAAATTTTTGCAAAATTTTAAATAACCTGATTTTTAATCAAGAAAAACTAAAAATGAGCAAATTTCCTTTGACAGGTTGTTTGCAAAAAGTTTGCAATTTTTTTTCGCAAAACTTGTGCAATCCGTTTCCTTATGTCATAGGCTTTCCAAAAAGCTAAATTTTATCAAAATCTGACAAGTGAAAGTGGGTCAAAACAAAGATTTAGTTTGCTACAGGCAAAAGCAGTCATTCAGGCAGTGTGCCTGAGGACTCAGGCAGTTAGTATTAAAGCCCGGTTTTAGGCCTAAAGGGAGGGCTTTGGGTATGTAAGAAAAGTCAGAAAATTTCAACAGCCTCAGACCAATACTTTTTGATTTATGTAAAAAAAACTACAGGGGGGGGTCAAATTGACCCCCCCCCAGCGGGAATAGGGTTAAAAGATATTTTCAAAAAACCTTTACAGTGTTTAGATTTTTGTATTCGCCAACCTGAGTTCAACATCTACAACAAAACTAATTATATGCATAGAAAGTACTTAAAATTTACTAAAAATTATCTCATCCCACGTTAAGTAATATCCATCTTCATTTAAAAGATATTTTCAAAAAACCGTTACAGTGTTTAGATTTTTGTATTCGCCTACTCGAGTTCAACATCTACAACAAAACTAATTATATGCATAGAAAGAGCATAAAATTTTGAAAAATTAGTCTCATCCCACCCCCTACTGAAAATGAAGTATTTAGTCCACTAATAATGGGTTAAAGTTTTCTCTCTATATAACGAGTTTAAAACAACATTCAGAGGAAAATGCCGCAAACATTCTTAAAGCGAAACTTGAAACTAAAAAACGTAATATATTTCTAGCACTTAGTGTGGCATATTTATAGATTTATTTTCAAAACTAAGGAGCAATAAAGAAAGCTTTAACAATATTGTACACCATAGGGCCATTAAAAGAGGTCAATATGGTCTTATTTCTAAGAAATAAACGATTTAATGTTATGCTTTATTGGGCTGATTACTATTTAAGGTGGTGGAGATTACCAATTGAGGAGCGCGCTTGCCGCAAAAAAGATTTGAGTGGCGGTGATTACTATTTGAGGAACTCTGGACTCCCTCCCTCGTTCAGCAGTCTGTGGATATGAGCAATAGCAGATTTTCTATATTTTTCTGTCCTGGCATGATTAACATAATACTGTTCCTGGTGGGGTAGTTGATGTTCATGTGGGTGAACTGAAGCAGGGAAGAGATGACGATGTTTAGAAGATTTAATACATTTCTTTGCAAAAGAGAGAGATAGCTTGTCCCTTCTTGACTCCAGGGTCTCCAGTTCACAGGACTCTAATGCACTTATATATCCAACATAATCTTTGCCTAGAATAATTTTTAGGCAAACTCTCTGTATCCGTTCAAGGGCATTGTTTTGGTGAACTGTGAGAGAAGAGTGCCATACAACACAACAGTACTCGACAATACATCTGAAAAAGGTTTTATAGACTGTTGATAGGTCTTCCATTTTCATCCCAACATACTTCAGCTTAGAGAGGATAGATATCCTTGCATACGCCTTCTTCATGGTGTTCAGCTCCCAGTCCAGGGTGTCAGTCAGCCAAATTCCCAACAACTTTACAGATTTAACTCAATGTAGATTATTGTTGTTGAGCTGTAGACGTGTACTATAATCTCCGACTGCTCTTATTATCAGCATGTAGTTGGATTTATCAGCATTTAATAACATAAGGTTCAGTCCACTGAGATATAGAGTTAATGTATGTAGGTCTGTGTACATAGGCACTCTGTGGGTATAAATAGATGATCAACACCTATATCACAGGGTACATGATTTTAAACATTGTAGGAAGAGAGACCATGGGATAAGGTAGACAAAGATATCAGTTCTAGGAAGGTAAGGTCATCTACATATTTAAACCTGAGGGTTTCATCAAAACAATCATTTCTCTATGGTCGTGCGAGTTCTGCAGTATTCCAGTTGTATACAATGGAACCTGCTGTGGAAAATATCGCATTTTCTAGCCTTCAATAGATTTTAAATTGACCCTCCATAAAATATTCGATTCACACTGGTATTTCTGAAGGTTTTGTCTGAGTAAAAATGATGGAGATATCCACGTTTTTTAATTGAGTGTGTTGTGGTTGTCTTTAAAAGTGACTTTTGGAACTGCCTGTAATATATACATGGCTCCCTAGTCCCTATGCTGTAAACTGGTTTTATTTCTTTTGCACATCATTAAATACAATCTTAAAAGATTTTATTAAAGGAAAATAGGTTGTCAAGTACAATAGATGGCAACACAGAATGCGTACACGTCATAAGTGTCAACTCAAATTTTCTGTCTGACAAAACTATAAATAAAAGTGATATTTTTAGACTAAAATGCTTATCTTTTAGTGCAATTAGTGCAATTTTATATGTGCTTTATTTCTGTTTTTACACTTTTTCATTTAACGTTCTATAGACTTAATAACAGGGTTGAAACTAATGTTGTACATAACCCTTTAACATTGTAATTTGAAACTATAACGTTAAAACATATTTCAGAAATGTTTAATGATATCTTTGGAGAAGTGCTCTGGAACGATCTAATTGTGGATAAACCCCCAGATCCAGGGGAAATACAGGCAACAAAAAAAGGTAATTTTATAATGAAATGTCGTCTTCTAAGGATAGTTAATTTTTTTCTCAAATGTCGTATTTTACTATTTTTGGGAACATGTAAGAAATATATAAATTTTTCAAAAGCGCTTTATTTATGAAATTATTGGAAAGTCTATGTAGAAATATATTATAAACATGGTGTCCCAAACAAAAATTTAGAGTAGGGGTATTGGGTACTGCAGAGGCAACAATTTTTATTAAATGTTCACAATCATGGTAACATTAGAAATCTTGATATTTCAGTTAAAGTCTATAACAACCAAGCTAATTTACGCTTGAATCACTTCTAAAAGAGGGAAATGCTGATTAGTTCTGGCATCTAAACATAAGTTCTTTCCTCTTCTTTCTGACATAGACAAAGTATTTCTATCATTTTTCCGACCAACTGCGAGTGAATCCGTGTCAACTATGGCGGAGAAATCCGGTGCTGGGACCTCCTTGATGGTTCTACAGCCTAGCAGGCTGGTCACACCAGGCGCACTCACCTAAGAGACCTCGGCCTAAATCAATTGAACTTGAAACTGGCGTAGCAGACAAGAAACAGAAGATGGGACCTCCAGAACCTAAGATGGGACTGTCCAATCTGACAAGGGCAAAGAGCATGTCTACCATGAGCCTTGCAGACAAATCGACAACTAGAGGAGGTCGTCTTAACACAACAACTACTACTACGCGCCTTGCGTTAAACCGTTCTACAGTCTCAAGTGTGCGCCCAGGAATCGACCGGCGCACAACTACAGCTAGCGCACTGAACTCGAGAACTGACAAAGAGAACAGATTGAACCGTGAAAAGAGCTCTGTGGGCCCTGGGTTCACCAGGGAGAAGAGCCCAGTCTCCAGGGGCGGGGTGCATCTAGGGGTGGGAAGTGCCCCGCCTGGGATCTCAAGGGAAGGTTGGAGGATATGGAGTCCAAGTTCAGCGAGACTTTGGCTTGTGTTTCCAACCTCGAGAATGAGAAGAGGAACCTCAAGACCGATAACGAGGTCAAAAAGGAGGTGGTCACACAAACACACAAGGAGGTCATTGACCTCAGACAGCAACTAGGTAACCCAGCTTTTAATTTTCTCTTCTCATATGTTAAATGCAAATAAATTATGCAATGTATGTATGCCTGGATTGAATTTCATATTTTCTGTGTCCTCACTGATTCTGCGTTCTTGTAAGTGCTTCTCTGGCATACGCGCAATGTTCATTTTAACCTTTGCAATTTTGAAAATGCTACCAGCTAGTATATGGGGTCGGGAAACGCATGAAGTTCCGTTTTTCTGGTTAAAAATATTTGTACAAACTCTATAATTCATGTTAAACTAAAATTTAGAAAACGCCCAGGCCGAAGTGGATTCTTTTAAGAAAAAACTAAGTAACCTTGAGGATGAGCATTCTACTGAAGTTAATAGGTATGCGTATGAATATATAAAATAATTAACGAGCATATTCCTTTTAATTCTAAAAAATATCGTTTTCAGGCTACGACGACAGTTGGAAAATGAGGAATTTGCTAAATCAAGCCTGGAGAGGAGATTAAAATCTTTAGGTAGTTTTTTATTATAACTCATAAAAATTATATTTATTATTTTAATGCGGTAAAAGAGTAAAACGAAAAACTAAATGCAAAACCATGTGAAGATAAAGATCGGGCTGAAAAATTTGGGAATGTATTAAAACTCTGATCCAAGTGATCCATGTAAAATATGATTTGTTCAACGCTCTTACTTTTTATTTATTTGATAGAAAATAGTGAAGAATATTTGTCATCTTCTATCCTGAAACCTACTTTTTATTTTTAGGGTTTGTTTAACTTGAATTCGATTATATGGGAGGGAAGGGGGTTTGATAAAAGTATTTAAATTTGCTGGTGTATTTGAAAATATGTATAGGAGGGGAATACTGAAATAACAGAATTTTAGAAGGCATTGATCTCGATATCCATATTACAAAAGTCACTAAAGTCACTAAATGGCATTTTAAAACCTCTAAATGGTGAAAATTTTCTTTAATTAAGAGGATGAGCTGTCTAGTAAGCAGACTGAAGTTTCTGGATTAAAGAATTCTGTGGCTGAACTCAGCAGCAGTAGAGCAGGACTAGAGGCAAACTATCAGAATACAACTGCACAATTGGAAACTGCTAAAACAAGGTAAATTAACCATTTTTTGATCGACCATTTTTAGAATATAATTAACGGAACACTTTAATGTTTCATCCTCTGTTCAAGCTTTATTTCTTAACTTTTTTACTAAAAATTTATATGTTCTTGAAATTAAGGTGAAAATAATGGAGCCAAGATGTCGAATTTTTTATTTAAAAAATTTGGAGAAAAGTCATCAAATACTTCGTTAAATGATAGTGAAATGTTTAGAATTAACAATTTTCAAAGACATTCACGCACCTCTTACACTTTGCCAAATTTGGACACTAAAAGAAAGTATAGGGGAAAAAAGAAACCAAAAACTAACTGGATTAATGCCATCACTAACCAATACTCCAATACTCTGATTATCTTCAAAGTAGTCGTATATATCAATACAATGAAGACTACTTGCGATTAAAAATTTTCATTTCTAACTAGCTTTCAAATAGAATGGATACACTTAAACATGGTAACAAAGAGAAGCTTCTCTTTACTTGTAAACCTAATCAGTGCTTAGGATCCGGATCCGAATCCGTTGGATCCACAAGATTTTGGCTTCCTGGATCCGGATTCAAGGGGTAAAATATCAACCAAAAACTACAAAAAAAAACCTTTTTACTCCTGAACCCCAAATCTGAACTTTTGAAAAAACGAGAGATTATAAAAATTTCCTCATTTCTGAANCCACAAAAAAAACCTTTTTACTCCTGAACCCCAAATCTGAACTTTTGAAAAAAAGAGAGATTATAAAAATTTCCTCATTTCTGAATGGTTCAATAAGTTTAAGGATAAAAATAAGAGAAAAAAATAAAACAAAAAATTTAAATTATTTTTGTTAAAAAAATTCAGTAAATCTTAAAGAAATGACCTGGATCCGGTTCCGGATCCGCATCAAATTTGAATGGATCCAAAGCACTGCCTAAAATTTAAAAAATCTTGTTAAAATCAAAACTTTATAAAAAAGTTCATTGTATTGATATAAACGCTGACCACTAGGATAACTGAGCTGGAAGAGAAGACTGCGTCCCAGTCCGCGGAGATGGAGAAGATAAAGGAGAAACTAAATTGGGAGGAAACTGAGAGAAGGAAACTCCATAATCTAGTCCAAGAACTCAAGGTAATTAGAGATCAGAACTTTTAAATATGGTTTATCTTGAACGCTTAATCTCGATATTCGATGTGGGCACTTTTAAATTTAATAATCAATGCTTGATCCCTCAATTAAAGTAATTATTTTCCTTTAAAAAATCATTCCCCCCCACCCCTCGTTTAGAAAATCATTTTTCCAAAAGTTACATATAGTTGCGCGAGCGCAAACTTTTTAGGGTTTTTTCGCTGAATTTGGGAAATAGATGATTTTAATGATTTTTGGCTAAATAGTATCAAAAAGAATAAAAACTTGACTAAAATATACATCCCTGTTTCCAACACCAAGAGACAAAAATCATTTATCTAGAACAGGGTTGACCTGGACCAAATCCAAAATCCAAACATCCTAGAGACATTTGATCTGATTTGGTGATGATCGGTTAAAATTAAGCCTCTGACAGCAAAAAGTTTTCAGTTTTTTTTACCCTTAAGTATTTGATTAGTATCATTAGTATTATTATTAAGTATTTTCAGTATTATTAGTATTTAAGTTTTCTAGTATAATTACTTTTAATATTAGTATTATTAGTATTATTAGTGTTTTTAGCAATTAGCATTATTAGTATTATTAGTATTTACAGGGTGGCCAAAATGTACGGATTGTACGGATTTTTTATTTTGTAACCCTAAAATTGTACGGATTGTACGAGTTTTTTTTCAAAATGNGTAATATCACAATCATTATTATCTCAGGGAAATATTCGTGTGTTCTGTCGAGTGAGGCCTCTGCTCGGAGATGAAATTCAGAAGTAAGAATGGTTTATCTTATTTTTATTACAGTGCTTAGGATCCATTTAATTTTGATGCGGATCCGGATCCAGGTCATTTCTTTAAGATTTACTGATTTTTTTTACCAAAAATAATTTTCAAATTTTTGTTTAATTTTTTTCGCATATTTTTAACCAAAACTTTATGAACCATGAACTTTTTAAAATCTCTCTTTTTTCAAAAGTTCAGATTTTGGTTTTAGGAGTACAAAGGTTTTTTTTGCAGTTTTTGGTTGATATTTTACCCCTTGGATCCGGATCCGTGGATCCGCATATTTTTGTGGATCCGGATCCAGAAAGCCAAATCTTGCGGATCCAACCGATCCGGATCCTAAGCACTAATTTAATAAATAGATTTTTATTTTGTGTATACTTCCTGTATACATCCTGAAGAAACAGCGCATCAAGCAAAATGTTTTGTCGCTTCGAGTTCGGGGATTGGAAGTTTATGTGTAGCTTTATTTGATCTTTATTAATTTAATGGATGCAACTAATCTCACAGTAGGACGGTTTTAAAAACTGACTTACCTCTAATTATGTAAAATTAAATTAAGATTTCATGGAACATGACTTATGATAGAGAGAAAACTAATTTAGAGAATTCAAAGAAAATTTTGATGTTATAGAACGTGGAATTTGGCGATTTGGTTGGGTTATATGTATTCGATTCGTGATTTTGTAAGTTTACTTCAGACAGAAATATTTACAAAAATCGAAATGAAAATACAGTGAAACCCTTAGTTGGGCTCTCCATGATGTTTTTTATTCAGTTCCTTGTTTCATCCTTATCCTCATTGCTTTATTAGTTTTCAATTAACATGTGAATCCTAGTAGTATGGTTTGTATAGAGCTTTGTTTTACTTTTTATTCTTTATTAAATCTAATTGATTTTCAAGGTTTTAGGATTGCCTGTGATTTTGATGATCACTGTCAATGTCTCTGTATCTGTCTCTGTCATTATTGTTTTTGTTGTCATTGTCATTGTCATTGTCATTGTCATTGTCATTGTCATCATTATTATTATTATAGGTATGGTAGTATTCAGCACCTAGTTATCAGTAATGATTGTTCGCTGGAGTTAGTAAAGAATACTGGAGAGAAGGATGATATTGCCGGGGGTCTTCATAAAAATATGAAGTAAGTTTATTTTTAACTTGCTTGCAAACTCAGCTTTGTTTGCAAATACTTTTTTGCTTTAATAGTCCACCCAATCAATTAAGAACTTTTAAACCAAGCTCAGGAAAATCTTATGGTTCTACGAAGTTTAAAATATGAGGCAAATCGGTCGAAGGATTCATTCACGAGTTATGATCGGACATCCAAACAGACAAAAAAAAGATTACTACTGAATATATCTATTATTATATAGATAATTCATTTGAAAATTCTGAATAATAATTTCACGATCGTAAAGTTAAAGTGGATTTTCTGTTGTAAATGTTTTCTTTAAATGGTTTTAACCAGTGCTGAGGATCCATTTAATTTTGATGTGGATCCGGATCCTGGATCCGCACTGGAAAAAAAGGATTTGGATTCAGGTTATTTCTTTAATATTTACTGCATTTTTTTACAACACAGAATTTTCAAATTTTTTGTCTTATTTTTTTGCTTATTTTTATGCTAAAACTTAATGGGCCATTCAGAAATCAAGACACTTTTATAATCTCACTCTTTTCAATTGTTCATATTTGGGTTTTGAGCTTAGAACATTTGTTTTTGAAAATTTTTGTTGATATTTTGCCCCTTGGATCCGGATGCGTGGATCCGCACATTTTTGCGGATCCGGATCCAAGAAGCCAAAATCTTGCAGATTCAACGGATCCGGATTTTAACACGATTTTGCCAAGAAAGCAGCAAGTTTACAGCTGCTGGAAACCATTAAAGGAAAGAACTGAAAAGAAGATATACAGTGTACAGTCGTTTCTGAAGTTGCATCCTTTGTTGATAACCCTGTATAAGTCGATAGGGAAATTTATTGAATTGTTTTTTCATTTTTAGAGTTAAACTGCAAATGATGACAATTTTGTTATAAATGGCTCATGATGAAATTTTGCTAAAAAGGGCTCATAACTATAAATATTTTGTAAGATATACCTCATACACCTCATATTTTTTGTTATATATGGCTCATAATGATTAATAATTTCATGATAAATATTTTGTTAGATTTGGCTCACCATGATGAATATTTTGTTTGATATAGCTCATAATGATATATCAGGGGTGTATATAATTCCAATTTTGGTAATGGCAGGTCGGGATTGATTATTTGTCAGTCCAGGAGTAAATTGTTTCATAGAAATCATTTCCTATCATTTTTCTTGGAGGGAAGAATTTGTGATAAATTTTAGCATGTTCCACTTTCTGGAAAAATTATCGATTTTAGATAAAGTTATGTAGTTATGTAGAGGTAAAGAGCTCCAGCTCTTCCCTTCCCTATCCCCTTTCTTTTACTTATTTATCTTCCAGCCTCGATAATCTACCTTTCCCTTCCCTTCGTTCCTCTTCCCTAACTACCCTACCTTCCCCATACATGCTTCTTACCTTCCCTATATCTCTCTTTCCCTGTCGACCTTCCCCTCTCAATCTTCCCCTTTTGTTAAATATGGCTCATAATGATGAATATTTTGTTAGATATGACTCACAATGATGAATATTTTGTTAGATATGACTCACAATGATGAATATTTTGTTAGGTATGATTTTGAGTTTGACCGTGTGTTTGATCAGTCCGCTACTCAGGATTTAGTTTTCCAGGAGATCAGCCAACTTGTACAGTCAGCACTTGACGGGTATATTACAATTCAAATATTCGCAGGGGTGTAAATTATAATAAAATAATTCGTTTATGATTTTATTGGGTTTTTTTTTTTCTTTCGTTTTCTACTAAAATGATAAAAGAAGCAGTGGTTTTGATTTTCTTAAAAAATAATTTCCCCCCTCCCACCCTCCTTCTGCAAAACACTTTTTTTTACCAGAAGTCAGGTTTGTTTGTTTGTTTTATTCGCTGAATTGAGGAAAATCATCTACAAGCATTCCTAAATTATATATCCCTTAAAGAAGTGATTCTTAGATTTATGTCCCAATTGATTGTACTATGTACTTGTATGATTTTACCTATAACGAAATTATGGAGTTATTTTTCTGACATCCTCTAAAAATTAGAAAACTCGAGAAAACAAGTTAAAAAACTGAAAAATTTATCAAAAAAATAAGATTCATATGAAAAAAAAATTCAGCAAACAGCGTTATCAAATAAAATTTTTATTTTATAAAATAATCTGCATTCTCCTATAATACCCTTAGATAGGGTATTTGGAGACAACAATATAAACACATTCTCAAATCAATACATATATTTTTTTGTTAAGTTACAATGTGTGTGTGTTTGCCTACGGACAGACTGGAAGTGGTAAAACCTATACTATGGAGGGAGGAGATGTAGAGGATTTAGAGCAGGTGCAACTCAAACTATTTTTACATGGACTGTAGGTGTAGGTTCAAGAGTGTTGTATTCGATTCACAACAGTACCCTTTAAACTTTTGTCTAATTATGCATGTGATTGTCTTCCTCATTGTTGCTCGAATGGAAACCATTGTTAAGAATTTTTTGTTTCAATGTCGTAGACCCCATAGCCCACACCCGCCCTTTGCAAAGTTATTTACGTTTTAGTCATTCAAACACACTCCGGAAGTCACTTAATAAAGCTTTTTTAACGGTTTTAAGAGAACATTTTTTGCACCGTGAGAAATAAAAACAAAAACAAAAAGAATTGGATTAATTGAATTTTTGCCGAGATCGGATTTTTTTAAAGTTTAAAGTCTGCTTTTCATTGTTAAGTCCAGATTAAAAAAAAAAAATAGGAAAGGAGGCATATATATTTTGAATAAAATCTTAAAATAGTTTTTTTTTGTATTACATTACAATTCCATTGATATCAAAATGTGTACATAATCGATAAACAATAATTTTGTTATTTTGAAAAAGTTGTACCAATGTATGAAGATTTTTTTTCTTTCTAAAGGAACCCCAGTCCCAAGCTTTGAATATAATAGTTGTTTGCAAGAAGTTTATTTATAAATTAGCAAATTCATCCCAATCGTTGTCAAAAAATTGTCTAATTTCTTGTGAAATGACGGGTTATATTTTGTTAATGTAGGCTGGTATGATCCCCAAGACGATCAAACAGATATTCGAGAGTACAGAGAGATTGAAAGAGAAAGGTTGGGAGTATACATTCCAGGTAGATATTTTTTTTTATGTATATATTCCTTTTTTATAAATCAAATCAACCCATTTTCTAACAACGTATGAAACTAATTGGGCCCTTTTCAGTCCTTTGCTACAAATATGATCTTAAACAATGTAAAAAAATTGACCGCAAAGAATACAAATGAGGTTTAGGAGGCTGCATGCAAAATGTCAGCCTCCTATTATTAATTGTTGTAACAACATTTCGAATTGTACCCCCCCAAACCCCTCCCCCCTTTCAGTCAGGGTAAAGAAATTTTAGTAAATTGTGCAAACAATTAATTTTTCCATTAATCTAAATAAACATGGCATGTGTTTAATGCATAGAGGGAACTTCAAACATTAGTTTTGATCAATGTTGAAAAAAGAGAAATTTGAGGAAATTTGTGTTTCAGGGGTAAAAATATCTCTAAGTTAAAACTAACATTTTGTTGTCAAGGCGTCCTTCCTTGAGATCTACAACGAGGAGATCAGGGACCTCCTTGCCACCGAGAAGAACCTCAAGTATGAAATCAAGATGACCGACTCTAAGGGGGCAGATATGTTCGTCACCAACCTCAAGGTCAGTCCTGTTTTTTCAGTAAGATAATCTTATGTTTTTTATTTTATTTTTAAGGATTTGGAACACAATAAAGGGTAAGAAACACCCTTCAGAAATTTGAAGATTTAAAAAATTCAATTTGTAAAAGGAGGTTATGGTCCATTGCATACAGAGGGTTCTTTTATCAATAACCTGCAAAAAAAAAATCTCTTGCCCTCAACTGCATCCTCAAAAATCAAAATCAAATAGATCCTTAGCACTGATTTCTGGAGTAGAGACTTGCTCAGAGATGAAATTAATTCTACACCAAAGAGGAGGTCAACCTGAGTTCAAAATTTAAAAACAATCAAATTCCGGGACTGAGGGAATCCTGAGAAAATCCACATTTTAAGATTTGGAGAGGTTCTGGTTTCAGTCCTGATTTCACAGATACTTGAAAGTTCAATATGATCGCACACGACTATTTTAGGACAAACATAAGGACAACCCTTATTATTTCTGCGCTAAACTAACAAAATTTTAGATATCAAGGAGAAAAGATAATTTTGGAACATATTCTCTGTATTTTATGAAACAAATTAAAATTGTATCTCATTTTTAATGCCGAATTGTTAACGGTGAAATCTCAGAAGTGTGATGGTATATGATGAGACCATAATCTTATGTTTCTCTAGATATTCAGGATGATTTATCCGGCCTAACCTTCCAGAGAATTCCAGAACTTGTTAAAATCTTGATGAGTAGACTTTAGATCCATGGTTTAGGTGATAAATTCTGAGATTTAGATGATTAACATCTAGGTTCCGGCAATACACATTTAGGTTCAGATGATTCACATCTAGGTTCAGATGATACACATCTGGGTTTAGATGATACACTTCTAGGTTCAGATGATAAACGTGTTGGTTCACATGATTGACTCCATGATTCAGGTGATATACTACATCAAGACACCTTCAGAGAACGCCTTATTCATGTAATAAATCTAGGTCCCGAGAGTACTTGACTCTCAGTCTACTTTCAGTCTCACTGACTCTATCTCTAGCCAAAACTCAAGGCTCTATACATGTCCGTTTAAATCAACGATTCATACATTACAAATTTATTAATACAGGTAAATAGAACTGACCGGAATGGCCGGTCAGGGTCAACATGAACATAGATTAAAAAGATTACGAACATAGATAATAAGGATTGTATTGGTCATGGTAGCATATTTCAAGGTATTTGTCATCAAAACCATAGAGTTTATTATCTGAACCATGGTGTATCATTTCAACCATAGAGTTTTCCATTCAATGCAATGTGAAATCACGACTGAAGCCTGAATTTCTCCAAATCTTAAATGTATCATTTACTCTTAGACACAGAGTAAATGACATTCCTTTGTAAATATTTGTAAATATTCCTGTGTAAATATTAAATCGATAAAAAGGGGCGGGATTAAATGAAAATTGTTACATTTTGAACTCAGGTTGACCTCCTCTTTAGCGTGTAATTAATTTCATCTCTGAGCACATCTTCATGTCTTAACATATTAAGCTTCACTGTGTAATTAACTTACAAATTAATTATTAATGTTATCTTGACTAGATAGAGACTGTTACCTCGGAGTCGATGATTTACAATCTGATGAGGAGAGCTAGGAAACAAAGAGCGGTAGCAGAAACACTGTGCAATGAGAGATCATCAAGATCACATTCAATATTTATGCTCAGGATAACTGGAACTAACAGTGTGACTACTGAATCCTGCTGTGGGATCCTAAACCTGGTATATCTAGCAGGATCAGAGAGAATCAAGGAGTCTGGTAGCGAAGGCCAAAGGTTAACAGGAGCGAAGGCAATCAATAAATCACTTTCCAATCTGGGAAATGTTATTATGGCGTTAGCACAGAAGGAACCCCATGTACCGTATAGGAACTCTAAGCTGACCCACCTGCTGCAGAACTGCCTGGATGGGAACAGTAAGACCTTGATGTTTGTTAACTTGAACCCTAAGGAGAACAGCTTTAACGAAACATTTATTGTATCTGACTCGGAAATTTCTGTAAATTATGACCACGTGTGAGTTTTATGCTAAATATATAATAATCTAAGTTATTTCCAGGCATTCTTTTTATGTTACAATCACTTCTTTAATTATGGAGCATGAGCCGAAAAATCGATTTCCCAGATTTTTCAAATTTTGATTTTTTACATATATTCATTTGTTCATATATAACCAAAAAATTCACAAATTTTTGTACATTTTATGTAAGTTATATGTTGCAGCCAAATAACTGTAATTATTACAGGATAACTGGAACTAACAGTGTGACTACTGAATCCTGCTGTGGGACCCTAAACCTGGTAGATCTAGCAGGATCAGAGAGAATCAAGGTATCTATTAAAAATAAATAAAAATACAAAATGCAAAAATATTTATCGTCAACGCTGTTTGAAGCTTTATTTCAATCTTTTTTCATCCAAGTAGACTCTCAGGGTTGCTTTGACTAACACTAGGTATGTTTCAGCAAAATGTTTCCGGTTCCGGTTCTGCTAGATTTTTAAATGTTTTTTGATAAGGGAAATGTGAATGTTATTCAGTGGATAATATGACGAATCGACATTTTCTTTGAATATTTGTTTAGTTCACAACAAACAATTTCTTCAGGAGTCTGGTAGCGAAGGCCAGAGGTTAACAGAAGCGAAGGCAATCAATAAATCACTTTCCAATCTGGGAAATGTTATTATGGCGTTAGCACAGAAGGTGAATCAAACTAAGATAAATAAAATTTTTTAATGTTGATTTTTCCCGATTTTGTGCAGCATGCGCACACAAAATGGGGTTTCTTAGCTAACCCAGAATATATATTTAAAACTCATGTATCGTACTAGAACTACAAGCTAACCCAGAATATATTTTTAAAACTCATGTACCGTACTAGAACTACAAGCTAACCTAGTATACATATTTAAAACTCGTGTACCGTACTAGAACTACAAGCTAACCTAGTATACATATTTAGAACTCATGTATCGTACTAGAACTACAAGCTAACCCAGAATATATTTTTAAAACTCGTGTACCGTACTAGAACTACAAGCTAACCTAGTAAACATATTTAAAACTCGTGTACCGTACTAGAACTGAAAGCTAACCTAGTATACATATTTAGAACTTGTGTACCGTACTAGAACTACAAGCTAACCTAGTATACATATTTAGAACTTGTGTACCGTACTAGAACTACAAGCTAACCTAGTATGCATATTTAGAACTTGTGTACCGTACTAGAAATACAAGCTAACCCAGAATATATATTTAAAACTCGTGTACTGTCCTAGAACTACAAGCTAACCAAGTATACATATTTAGAACTCATGTATCGTACTAGAACTACAACCTAACCTAGTATACATATTTAGAACTCATGTACCGTACTTGAACTACAAGCTAACCTAGTATACATATTTAAAACTCGTGTACCGTACTAGAACTACAAGCTAACCTAGTATACATATTTAGAACTCATGTATCGTACTAGAACTACAAGCTAACCTAGTATACATATTTAGAACTCATGTACCGTACTTGAACTACAAGCTAACCTAGTATACATATTTAAAACTCGTGTACCGTACTAGAACTACAAGCTAACCTAGTCTACATATTTAGAACTTGTGTACCGTACTAGAACTACAAGCTAACCTAGTCTACATATTTAGAATTCGTGTACCGTACTAGAACTGAAAGCTAACCTAGTCTACATATTTAGAACTTGTGTACCGTACTAGAACTACAAGCTAACCTAGTCTACATATTTAGAACTCGTGTACCGTACTAGAACTAAAAGCTAGCCTAGTATACATATTTAGAACTCGTGTACCGTACTTGAACCACAACTAACCTAGTCTATTCAGGAATCCCATGTACCGTATCGAAACTCTAAGCTGACCCACCTGCTGCAGAACTACCTGGGTGGGAACAGTAAAACTTTGATGTTTGTAAACGTGAACCCTAAGGAGGACAACTTCAATGAAACATTGAACTCTTTAAGGTAAAATTTCTAGTTGATTTTTTTCTTTTTTTTGGGGGGGGGGATCTACCAAAAATCATTTAAAAAGAAGGACCCCCTATAACAGTGGGATATTTTAAGGGGTCATAAGGGGGGGGGGTGACTGGTTTTTGTCACAATACTCATCTTAAAAAGCATTTGTCTTGTGTTAATGATGAGAATGGTCAAAATAAATTTATTCTTTACAACCATTGTATTAATTGTAGCTTGATTTGCAATTAATAATTCTTTTACTGTTCATATATTTATCCTTGAATGGATCCTGTAATCCCCGAAATATTGCTTACATTTAAAAGGTCATTGTGTACAATATACATAGGTTATGTATAGGAGACATACAGATTGCATAATAGAACATAATTAATAGCTTTTTACACAAAATTACAACGAACTAAGGATAATCTAGATAGATAAATAGATTCTAATGACCGTCTCAAATTCGTCTATAAAATACACAACATTTCAAAGGGTTTCACGGATACGACCGGTTTTCTGTTGGATTTAACTCAATATTACTAAGACTTTGAACTTTGAAACTTTTCTCATAAAAAAAAATTGCATAGGCGACTGAGCCTTATTTGGCTTTTAAAAGTTTTTTGTTGTAAACTCAATATNGATACTTCTCAGTGCCCCCACCAGGAAGTATTTTTTTTTAGAATTTAGATTGAGGGGTAGGAGTAAAAATAAAAATTTGGACATAATAAGGCACCTTTTTATTCTTTTTGATAATTTTTATCCAAAAATTCCTTATTTTCCTTGCTTAAATTCGTTAAATTCGGTCTCATTTAAATTGAATATAAATATATTTCATACTTATTCTTGTTGACTTATCATTCATTGTTTAGGTTTGCTTCGAAGGTGAACCAGTGTAATATCGGTACTGCGGTCAAGAAAGTGAAGTAAATTGGGTCCCAAGATTCAGATGAAAAGATATCTAAATATATTATTTTAGTGTTATATTATTTTTAATCCGAATCTTTATTCATTGAAACTCTGGTTTAGAGAAATATTTGAAGTAAAGCACAAATAAATCCGAAAATTCTTGTTCAATTTTACAGTCACACTTTTAGTTTGTACAATTTCCTACTTGTGTTCTGTTTTGTACTGAACTGCAATAGTTATGTGTTGACTGTAATTAAAATTTAGTTTAAGCGACTAAATTATATAACGTGACCATTTAGATTTAATTTAAGGTTTTTTGCTCCAACGGATATATATGTAATATAAGTTGTACAAGATTTTATTGTATCGGACTCGGAAATTTCTGTAAATTATGACCAGAGTGTTTTATGCTAAATATATAATGATCTAATAAGTTTAGTTATCTCTCCAATTCTTCCCAGTTACATGAGTTGTGTGATCAAAAAACTCCTTTATTAGTTTGAGGTTCTATGGAGTGTTTAAAATGACCTGGCGCTACCCTCTAAACGTTAGAATAAGTATCATGAAAGTAGTAAAAATAATTTTCTTAAGAAAATATTTAATATTAAAGTAGAGCAGTGTTTTCTTGTACAGGTTTCATCATGGTTCTATTTCAAATCGGGTTTTGCAAAATAAAACTTAATTGCTTTGCAAAAATAGTTTTACGTACATGCTAAAATATATGGAGGTAGTGTGGTTAGAACTATTATTAGCTAAAGTGAGCCTTCTTTTAGGAGGGAGTGTGGTTAGAACTATCATTTGCTAAAGTGAGCCTTCTTTTAGGAGGGAGTGTGGTTAGAACTATTATTAGCTAAAGTGAGACTTCTTTTAGGAGGGAGTGAGGTTAGAACTATCATTTGCTAAAGTGAGCCTTCTTTTAGGAGGGAGTGTGGTTAGAACTATCATTTGCTAAAGTGAGACTTCTTTTAGAAGGGAGTGTGGCTAGAACTTTCAATAATCTTGGAAATACGAACATTTTGGTTTTTAAAACTTAATTTCTTTTGCAGTGACAAATGTCGACCCTGACAAAAAAAAATGCAAAGTGCGTACCAAACATGAACGTATTCATTCATATTTAGTCTTTTTATTTAAAAATATTCATGTAAAATTTAAGTAAAGCTAACCAAACAGAAAACCGGTTTGAAGCGCGAAAAGTTTTTGAAAAACACTCACCAAATCTCGTGTATGAACTATGATTAAGGTTGTATAATAAGGCTGATTACTCTAAGGAGACGACATTTTCCGTACATTGGAGCACATCGAGAGTAACCAACCTCATTATACAACCTTGACTATGACATGATAAAAAAATAAACAAGTTAAAAAGATTTATTAAACTAGAAAAGGTTTAACAACGGTTTCTTTGAACCAGCTGAAATGCATGTCCATATGCCCGCCTGGATTATGGATTTATCATTTGGAGTTTTTCTCTATATTGGTTTAATCTAGTTGTTTTATGATCACAGTAATTTTGAAAGGGCGTTCAATAACTTTTTTCAAGAACTTTTTTTAAACCAAGAAAGCAAGAGATTAATTAACAATAACAGATAGGACACTAGATGTTGTCTTTTCAAGATTTAGGGGTTTTACGTTCACAATAACCCTGCATGAGGCGGAAGCTCAAAAGAGTTTACATATGCAAGAAAAATGTCCAATTTTTTTTGAAGATTATAATGAAAGGCTAATGCACCAAAATTAAACTCGATGTAATCGATGTCATTTAAAGTCTGCTTAAAAATAATTACATAAATTTTTTCAATAATAAAATCCTACCTGGGATTGTGAAGGCATGAAGACGACCTGACTCATTCAGTACACGGAGACCCAACCAGTCCTCAGTGTACATCTTCGTAGCCTGAAGTACAGCAATTACTTTATGTACTCAAAAAAAAAATTATTTAGAAAATCAAAAATTCTGCTGGGTTATCCTTTACCTGGGCGTCCAAAAAAAATATTCAAATGTTTATGTCCGTGAATATTACAAATGCAAAGAAAGTAGACCACAATTTAGAAGTATCATAGAATATTTTGACATACTTGCAAGTTACAGTCGGTGGATTTCAACATTTTATAGATCTATGGAAAGCCTGTAACAGAAGGAAGCAGATTGCACAATTTTTGCAGAGATTTGTTTTGCACATTTTCCATTTTTCTTGAAAAATGTTGCAAAATATTGAAATCATAAAAAAAATTTGGATTTTTTTTGAATTCACGAAATGTATGAAAAATGAAAACGGGAAACCTTGCATTTTTTTGGAAAATTTGGCAATAAATAAACTGCACTTACAGGATAGCATTTGCCTAGTATAATTTCTCATAAGAAACTTATATGTTTAAAGGAAGTGTCCTTGTAATTTCAGGTCATCTCAATCCAATAAAAAAGACGGACATGCCCGACTCATTTACAGTTCATTTAAGAAACAGGAAAATCGAAGCCCATGACATGATCCATCACTGTCAACGAGGTTATAGTATATAGAGTGATGATGTAAGCTAATCCTTCACTTATTGTACACAATGCACAGGTGTTAGGACGTGTATATTAAAGTACAAAATCTTCTCATACACTCTTACTCCGAAAGCGGACTGCATATTAGATGTTTGTACTTTATGAATAGGCCATAATCTCTTTAAATCCTTTATCAGTAAACTGTCCTAAGTGTACACTAAGGCTAATATACACGGACAGGTAGCTAAGATCCAGCCCTCTAGATCACTGCAGATAATACCTCTAGAGGTTCAGTAATATCATCCTGGCCGAGAACATAAAATCCAAAATGGCTGCTCTCACGTGGGATAATTGTCTCATCGTTCTCCCACTTGATCATCACGAAGTTATCCAAGTTGGAGATGATCTCCTTGTACTCGGGGTTCTTCTCCTCCTTCATGTTGTTGATGTCAGCCAGGAAATGGGATCCTGAATTGGATATTGAAAAAAATGTATTCTTTTATTTTGTTATCCATTTTATTTAATTAACTGTTTATTTATTCATTTTCTTATTTCTTTCTGCAGATACATATTAATTGATGCTAATTTTTTGGCTTTGATTTATTATTTGTATTTATTCATTTCTATCTCAATTCATGATAAAGCAAAAACAAGGAAAGGAACTTTAATTTTATAATCCATATATCTTCGTGTTACATATGTTTTTAACGTTGTTTGTGACTGCTCATCCGACTAAACAAATATACGTGAAAAAACTAAACAACAAATATTTTTTACAGCTTATTGACATTGACAAAAAAGGTATCTCGCCAACGGTCTTTAACAATCGTTAACGATTGTCAAGAATAAAAAATGATCGTTTCGTTTTTAGTTTTTTTATGTCGATCAGTTCGTTCTTTAGTAATATGAAAAGAACTCTTATCTACCCATTTACAGCGAGATCCAGAAATCTTTGGAAAAAGGAGATGATATTAAAAACAACACTATAGTGCATTTGATGATGTTACAAAGTACTTGAGTCCAAAAGTCATCTTCATATTCCAGAGTTTTCTGGTTCTCACAGTCCCAGTACCTTCGATAAAGTTTGTATGATTAAGAGGATCTCTCCAGTATTGAGCTGGGGCAACCATATCCTAATATCAAAAATAGAATTATCTTTATAAAAAAGATTTGTGAATTCTTTTTGTTAATCGATAAAACCATAAATTCGCTTAAGTGTGTGAGGTGTTCTTAGTGAAGGACAATTTTAAGACGACAATATATGTATTATTTTACAGTAGGAAGCATCACATTCTAGTTCTCCTAGTAAGTTTAATGTGAAACGCACCTCTGCGCCTTTAGTAAAAGTAAATTCAACCTATATGAAGCATAAAGTCTGACCGCGTCAACCTTGTTGCACCGGCTAATCCTGTACTTTAAATGTACTACAGCTGCCCGTGGTGAGTACCTGAAGATCAGGGTCATATGCTGCAGCAGCTAGGATCTGTCTAACCAGCTCACATAGAGCATAGGACTCAGTAGCACTTAAACAGTCAGGAACTCCAAATATACCGTTAGATGGAGCTCCATATGTAACCAAGGTTTTCATCGGGGGATCAGGACAGCGTTGGGCCAGCCCACGGATCATTAAACCTCCTGAAAATTAATTAATCATTTTAAAATTTAACTAAAAGTTTTTTGTGTGACTCTCATGATCAATAGAGCAGACGAGTTCGGTATTACACACGCACACTCTTATGGTACAGACACGCAACATGAACAGTCAAGGAAATTGCAGAACAATGTCGTCAATTATAATTAAGCTTAAATAACGGTATTTTGTTGTAAACTTTAATCAAACTATATTCTTTGCATGAAAATTTGGCTTATAGTGTTGACTTAAATAAGCAAATAATATATTACATGTATATTAAACTTATTTTTAAGCATAAACAATTAACAATAAACAAGTGTACTTTCCTAGACTGTACAAATACCGAGATTCTTATGTACTGTATATACCTTTAGTAAACGCCTTCGGTTCGCTATTCCTTACACACACTCTTTTGGTTCAGACTCACACAGACGACGTTTCCGCCCCCTGTACTGAGGTGGTTATATTCAGGCCATTGATCCTTTTCATTTTTATTAACAGTCCCTTTAACAAAAAAGTTTTTAGAGTTCTGCGCAAAAAAAAATAAAGAAAAAAATTGCAGATTGTAAATGGCAATGCATTAAATTTGCTATTTAAAGAAAATCTAATGGTTTCTGCAATATTAAATGATTCCTTACAAAAAAAATTCCACCTTGAGAGACTCCCACTGCGTTGTATCCATTGGCTAGAAGAGGATCTCCTTTAATTACTCGACAAACATATTCAACCTAGGGATGGGCAGGATATTACTTTTCATTGGTTCATTAACAGTTGGTTAAATTTGTAATTTCAAGTGACCCACCAGACAAAGGAGGCATACACAGTCTCTTGAACATAAAAAAGATGCCGAATGATTTTAACCATTTGGGTTTAACTAATAACTATAAGTCATTTGATGTTGAGTCTAATTTTCCGTTAATTTTTGATCTGGTTGTCAATACAATAGACTAGTCTTTTGAAAGGCCGGTTCCTGCAGTCCAATTTTCCGTCAATTTTCTGTTAATTTTCCGTTGATTTTCTTCTCTTTGTAAATAAACTGGACATGCTTTTTTTTAATTTATTTTTTCCGTTAATTAGAAATTAAAAAGTTTGGTTGATTTTCCCTTATTTATCAACAACTTCCGTTTTCCTCTATCCACCTGGTTAGCTGCTGTCATGAGAACACTGTTCCACTTGTCAACCTCATTGTTCTCACCGATCATCACGTTCACCACGTGGAGATCGGGGATCACATCCTTCAAAGCCCTGAATAACTAAAGTGTTGATTCTTATTTTAAAAACTCATTTTTTGCGTTCTAGTGGCTTACAACAATATGTAGATTCTTGTGTCAAAGTTATTAGCTACCAGATGGGTTCCCATATTCAAGATGCACAAGAATAGAACAAAACTTTATCTATAGCTTGCTTAATTATCAAATTCAAACATTTTCTTGTTGCGTACAGTGATAACCAGAAAACTCCGAAATAGGAAGACGACTTTATAGCAATACAAAACTGTATTTGATGTTGTTATAAAGCAAATAATTTTACTAAGCAGTTATTAAATCACAAATCAAATGAAATGGGCCTTTTTACACTGAATAATTTATATTTCCCATGCTCATTAGACTATCAAAAGACATAATTTGAGTTTAAAAGTCGTCTTCCTATTCCAGAGTTTTCTGGTTACCACTGTACCATAGCAAAAAATCGCCATCATCAACTGTTAGGAAAAATACAGTGATCTTTCAAAAAAAATTACAGGTCTGAGACTTCTATAACTATATAATTTATTTTTAGCGAAACTTATCGTAGTTTTGCATTTTCTCAAAGCCTTTTTTTTAATAATTATCATGTAAACATATATTTTATTATTATTAACAGCAATTTCCAACAAAATTTGGTCAAACTTTCCTGAAATTAAATAAAAAGATTTCGCGCTTTGAAAATCTACAAAAGTCTTAAATATTCAAAATGGAGGAAAATTCAAAATGGCCGACTCACCTGACAACATCTTCATTTCCAGCCGCGTTGTTGTTTACTCCATGCCAGGTAACTACAGGTAAAGATCCGCTACCATCTCTAACCAGATTTAATCTTATACTCGAAAGAAGTAGGCTAACCCAGGAAATCAGGGTTCTAACAATGCCAACAGGCATTTTTAACCAGTGTGATCTCAGAGTCACAAACCGGGTTTCTCCATGTGGTTTAACTTTTACTTCTAAGAATAGGCCAACGAATAAATGTCGCAAATTATTTCAAAGATCAAAGACGACCTTCGATTCTTCTTGCTAATGTCATGTTTCTTGGGACACGCGGTAGTCTGCAGATAACGGAGTCTTTAGAAATTACAAACGAATTAACTTTGAAATCCAACATTTTAAGAAACAAACTTGTAAATATTTACCATCACTTGTCATTGGGGTTTCTTGTGCTAGACCTAATACTAGTAATTTCTCTGACACTCTGTTTAAACTCTGTCAAGTCCTGGACTCTTACTAAAGATGTAGATATAAAAACTTGGAATCTTAAACTTTCTGAATATTTGCTTCGTTGACAAAATATTTAATCAGACAGATTAATCTGTGGGTAACACCTTCAGTTTTGCTATTTTTGATACGAGTCTATAAAGGGAGATTTGCGCATCTTTTCAAATAACAAGTTTATCTTTTAACTGTTAACTTTCAACCCATATTCGCGGATTTTACTGATAATCAAAATTAATCTTATTAAACGTGACTATTGCAATACAAAATTCAGTTCAGCTGTATCAAACAAACAGGAACAACTAGACCCAATCGGTTCAGCTGGATCAAACAAGAACAATTCTAGACCCAATCGGCTCAACTGGATCAAACAAGAACAACTAGACCCAATTGGTTCAGCTGGATCAAACAAGAACAACTAGACCCAATCGGTTCAGCTGGATCAAACAAGAACAAGTTAGACGCAATCGGTTCAGCTGGATCAAACAAGAACAACTAGACCCAATTGGTTCAGCTGGATCAAACAAGAACAAATTAGACGCAATCGGTTCAGCTGGATCAAACAGAACAACTAGACCCAATCGGTTCTCAAACAAGAACAACTAGACCCAATTGGTTCAGCTGGATCAAACAAGAACAAATTAGACGCAATCGGTTCAGCTGGATCAAACAGAACAACTAGACCCAATTGGTTCAGCTGGATCAAACAAGAACAAATTAGACCCAATCGGTTCAACTGGATCAAACAAGAACAAATTTGACCCAATCGGTTCAGCTGGATCAAACAAGATCAGCTAGACCCAATCAGTTCAGCTGGATCAAACAAGAACAACTAGACCCAATCGGTTTAGCTGGATCAAACAAGATCAGCTAGACCCAATCGGTTCAGCTGGATCAAACAAGAACAAATTAGACCCAATCGGTTCAGCTGGAACAAACAAGATCAGCTAGACCCAATCAGTTCAGCTGTATCAACTATTTAATGGACCGAAACGTTAAATCGTGCTCCAATGATGGAAAGGCATGTACCATTCACAACAGTTATATCCTTAACATCTATGAATTAGATAGCCATGTTTTTGTTTTTGAAAACTAACTGGTTTCATTTGTTGATTCTATAATGAATTAAGTGACTTGCGCATTTCCTGCCATAAAAACGATTAATGCAGTATCAGAATTCAGCTAGAAATCTAAGCTAACTTCCACAAACTTGATCAGTGTCCGAATTTAATGAATTTGAGCCGCTACAAACGGGTTTTAATTTACCGTTGGCTTAAATATTGAAAAAATTAATACAAATTAAAGTGGAACCAACCATATTTGAGCCACGGCTTAAATTTAAATCGTGGATCAAATTCTTTTTTAATTCGGTCTCAGATTCAGGTTTCAATGGTATCGTTGTGAATCACGCATTCCCTTCTTTGAAAAAAGGTGAGCTGAAATTATTAAGTAGATATAAGATTTCCTTAAGAAATTTAACAGAACGAGAACAATACTTCTAAATTTCATTTTAGCAGATTTAATTCAGAAGATTAAGGTTTAAAACATTTATTTTAAACTTTTTGAAGTTTCTTGAAAATAATCTAATTCAAACTGACAAAATTAAGGATTTAAACAAAGATAAGACAAGTTTGTAAACAACAATATCTTTTATTTTTATATTATCTTTTTTTGGCTCTTATTTAACATGAAAGAAACATTTTAAATAAGGTAAAATCGATTTGAATTATAAATATATAAATCATAATCATAATGTTATTTATAAATGATGATCTTTCAATTGAGAACATTTTTAAAATCTTCTTTTGTTTAAATAAAAATGAATTTTAATATGTGTCATGCAATAATTTATAAATTAAAATATTAAATTTTTTAATATTTGGATATTTTAATTTTTTAATATTTTAATATTGAATATACGAAAATTAAGAAATGAAAAATCTAACTGTGTTCGGTCAAAACAGAAAAAAACAGAAACAGTTTTAAGATTTTAAGAATTAACTTAAAAAAAAAAAATCCAAATTTAAGTACAAAAAAGAGAAGTCGAAGCCGGATGTTTTAAGACCTAGTTAGTTGAAAACAAAGCATAATTTGCCAGCTTTCTTTGCAAACATTTACAGGCAGTTCACTCATTTATCTTGCAAGCATAGTTTACTCACAATATAAGTTTAGAGATGGGCGTGTAAGGTTTTTTTTATTTCGGTCGTTCATCGTTTGTGAATCACCCATTTCGTTCGTTTTTTCAATATTTTGAAAAAAATTATTTCGTTCATTCTTAGAATTATCGTAATCTATTTCGTTCCATTTCTTACTGAACTATCGTTCAATAAAATTTTTTGTTCAGTAAACTTTTTTAAAACTCGTTTCTGTTTCTGTAAAAAATGATCCTTGTTTAAAGATTGTTCGAACGATTTAAAAAAGTTCGTTTCGTTCGTTTTCAAAAACGATAGTTTCTTAATTTCTCTGAATGATCCATATCGTTCGTCCATCTTTTTTTTCTTAACGACACCATCGTTTACGAAAAATTTCGGTTGTTCTCAAAACGATGTCCATCTTTAAATATGACGAACAACAGGCAGTTATTTCACTTGTAAAACAAGACAATACGTTTAGTCAACTTCTCACAGTTCAGGTTCAAAATTCTTATTTTTTGTTCTATTATTCAAAAATTAAATTCTTTTACACGATTCGTAAATTATTGCAAATGGAAATCATTTTTTTCCACAAACTCTAATTTATTAATTCTCATATCTTTACACCCGATGTAGTAAGTAGACCTTTGATATTTCAAACTATGAATTCATTTTCACAATAATTAGCCTATTTTTATTTTTTCAGCATTACAAATAAAACTGTAATTTTCATTTCTAAAAGCTCTTAGTTTATCGTTGAAAAATACTAACAATCCACCACCAGTTATATTAAATGTAATAATGTAAACAATAAATGTGTAACTTTTACAATAAAAATATGAATTAAAAAGTGATCCTACTTGTCCACAAAGAAAAACAACAACAAAGCGAGTTCTCTGCCGAAGTTTATTATTTAAAGAAATCAGATTTTTTTCGATGAATTGACTTGAGAGCTGACACCTAGGATCAGGTTTCAGATGACAGATATAAAACTGCAAAAGTGTGAATAAACCCAAGTATTAAATGAATATAAAGAGGTCTGTCAGCGTAGTTTCAAGTCATCTTTCCTGCCTAATTTGGAACGATACCCTTGAAACCTAAATCTAATAAAGAATATGAAAGATAACTTTATTTTCATGATTAGAAAAACAAGAAATGCTCAATTGTCACTTTTAAAGAAAAACCAAAATAAAAAAACAAACATATATATTTAATTCATAATTGACAACACTTTTAAGGGTATCGTTGAAAATCGAGCATTGCCATCTTTGCATGGAGGTTTACTTGAAATTGCACTCATTAAAAACAATAAATTGCTTGCACAGCTAAAAATATTATTAAATAATTCTGAAGAAAGATATCTTTTAATTCACAAAATCGTAAATTCTTAGAATCTGTTTGAATTGTACAGTATTGCAATCTCAATAGCTTTCTATCATCTAAAATATATTTTTGAGAACAAATTGAGAAAAATATTTGGGAAAAATTTAAGTCTTTTTTGAAACCTGATGACGTAAACCTTTAATATATCAAACTTTGACAATTTGATCCAACGCAATTTAAAGTGTGAAATATCAAAGATCTACGACATTGGGTTGTAAAGATGTAGGGATTAGAAAAATCAGTTTCTTTAATGTTTGTTTTGAATAGAATTAGTTTGCTTTGTGTGTCAATGTTTAAAATATTTAGTTTTTTTCATGCCCGGTTGATAAAAACACGGGAATAAAAATTATACGCAATGAAATCTTAAAAAACAAGTTGTTTAGACCATGGGGGTTGAACAGTATATGGTGGTTGAACAGTATATGGGAGTTGAACAGTATATTAGGGTTAATTGAACAGTATATGGGGGTTGAACAGTATATGGGGGTTGAACAGTATATGGGGTTGAACAGTATAAAGTGAAAATATTTGAGTTTTGTTTCAAATCTTTCCTCTATAATATAAGCCTTCTCCCTCTGGAAAAGTGAAAACTATGATTTTCAAATGGGGTTGAGCTGAGTTGACCCTCCACCCCTTAGAATGTACAAGAAAGGTTGGAAGGACAAGAAAGGTTTACCCCCCCCCTTCCCTAATTCTATGGGACATAATGTCATTGTGAGAAAAATATTAATTTTTCGTCGTTCTGATGATTCAATTATTCAATAAATATTATATTTCTCTTAAATAATCAAATAGCTTTAAAAAAGGGTACAATACGATTTATCAAATTAGGAACTTTTTTGCCTCGAAATCTCAGGGGGGTGCGAAGGTCTGCCATCCCCCCCCCCGCTGTGTCCGCCCCTGATTGCCTCATTTAATGATTTGGTAAAGAAGAAAAGAAGTTTACAGGGAATCATGATTATAAGTAAACAGATAGTCGTCCCTGAAGGCTCATTCTTTGTGGGTAACCCTGTATATAAAGGTATACCCTATATAGGGGCCCTGGCTGACTGTGCCCCCTATGTATATATATGTTTAATGTTGTGTACGCCCTGATCTGCTGTGGTAGTTTCTCTTCTTTTCAAGCAGTCACAGTTAGTTAGCTCTGCATACAGTATATAGGCTGTATATTAGGCAGTTCCAGGAATAAAGTGAAAGCGATAGTTTATTCTAATTTGTTTATATTATCGTTTCAATACACTCTTAAACAATATTTTGAATTTGACAATAATATAAGTATTATATTATATTATCATCTTCGTAAACTGTCTTTTATAAATCCAAGATTATATAAAAAGTTTTTGTTTGTTTGAAAATATTTGGCGTAAACAATGCAATGAAATTAATGTACAACCTGTATTGGTGGTGTTCAATGTACAAACTGTATTGGTGGTGTTGAATGTACAAACTGTATTGGTGGTGTTCAATGTACAACCTGTATTGGTGGTGTTCAATGTACAACCTGTATTGGTGGTGTTCAATGTACTGTAACCCGCCCTCTCCCCAAGACTAAAAAAATCCTGTGGCGTTTGTCAATTATTAGACGATTTACGAAAGTGTTAAATCAGGAGGCTCAGTACCTGTTGCCGTTTGGGCCTAAAACCCCCCTGGAAACCATAGATTCTAATGTTCCAGGAGGGGCAGAGACCCCACAGCCCCCCTCCTGTTCGCCTCTGTCTTTAAGACTAAGAATTGCTGAATTTTACTCCTGATGTTTACTATGTTGCAGTTGCATATTTGGTAATTATAAAACAGCTGATTCCTCCATGGACATGAACCGGATTACATTCAGTGTTAAAAACTCAAATATATACAATCAGTCCGAAACAAAGAACACATTAAATAAATTCATTTTGGGAAATATTTACACAACAATGACAAAATCAATGTAAAAAAACAATATCTAAAAAAAATAATGATCATTAAGCTGTAAGGTGAGTGTATAGTAGAGGTATGTAATTTAAAGAACGAGTAAGAATTTCTTTGAAACATACAAACTTGAATTTATTTTTATCGACCCGACAGACCTTTGATATTTTAAACTATGAATTCTGTTTGATTAAATAATGTTGAAATAAAGGTCTACACCATCAGACTGCAAAGTCGACTTTGGGATTAAAAAATTAAAGTTTGTAGCAAGAAATCAGTTCTTTCGGTGATTACAATTATAGTTTTACAGATTTCACAAGATCCTCAGATGCCGGGAAAAGGGTTTCACCCCCCCCCCCCCAATTAAATATGAAACTATAGTCCCCAATATTATAGATGAAAACTGAATATTTGATCAACTAAAAGAAAAATCTATGAAAAAGTCATTTTTGTTTCGCAGAGCACCACCTAAACGAATTTTATATTTTCATCGTTTTTTTGTGAACAGATTTTTTATTATATTTGGAAAATTAAGTATACAATAATACAAACCACAAACTTCCGAACAGATTTATGGGTGGGGGGACATCACTGTGATCCATCCAGGCTAAATTTGTTGCATAAAACGTACTGGGTCGGCTCTATGTTCAGTACGTGTTGTACCGACAGGGATCCTGCTACTTTTAGGCTGGTGACAGCACCCGTGGCGGACATAAGGGGGGTTATTGGGGTTATTTACCCCCCCCTAGAATCCTGGGGGNATATACAGATATACAGATATACAGATATACAGATATACAGATATACAGATATTCAGATATACAGATATACAGATATACAGATATTTTTGTTTTGTCATGTCCTTTAATGTTCTGTTCGTAACAAATGTCCCATTCTGTATTGTAACTTTTCTCTCTTTCCTTTTATTTCCTTTACTGTTGCATGTCCTGTCCTTTAAAATGCCCTGTCCCGGCTTCAAATGTTCTGTACTTTTCTTTAAGTCCTGTCCTGGCTTTAAATGTTCTGTCCTGTCGTTTAATGTCCTGTCCTGTCCTTTCTTGTCCTTCAATGTTCTGTCCTGTCATTTAATGTTCTGTTTTGTCCTTAATGTTCCGTTCTTAAAAAAATCCTGTCCTGCATCTTTCTTTGCAGAGTACATTCAAGTCGTATCCTGTCCTGTCTTGTCCAGTATACTACTTGTGTCCTGTTTTTATAGTGTGTAAACTTTGGTTAAATGATTTAATGATGACAATTTCATCCCCTTTTCAACTTTTTCTTCACAAACCTAACATTTCAGTAGACATTTTGAAACGTTAACTATTTTCTGCAAGTTTTTCACATTCCTTTTTATCCAATTATCTGATATAGAGATCTGATATAGAGATCTGATATAGAGATCTGATATAGAGATCTGATATAGAGATCTGATATAGAGATCTTATATTCAAATAACATTGAAAATTTCCAAAAGAATTATAATGTCTAGGAGTTTGAAACATTTGGAGATTTTGTGCGTTTTTTTCCCACGGATTGTTTAATTTCACTAGCTAGCTATCAGAATGCAGAATTTTTGCGTTTATAAATGAGAGATCTGTCACGCAATTTTTTATTTTTAAAAATTTGTGTGATAATATTTTAATTAAAGGGTTGAGAAATTGATCAGTTAGATATTAATCTACTAGTTTGCAAAATGTGATGTGACAGCCTAATCATTCGATAATATTGCAAAATTTGTTAGGGATCCCCATCTTATAATCCCCCCACTACCCCCACCTTTCTACCCTCTCTCATAAACCTACAGAAGTCCACAAACAATCCCTTATTTCTCCATTTCAGTGAGATATCTCAATTTTGTACTTTCATGGTTTCTTAGTTTTACCATAACTAACCCCCCTTCATCTTAAAAAAGCAAAGATTAGTCCTCAACAATTTCTTTCTCTGTTATATGTATTTTCAGATTTTTCACACAGATTTCTCCATATATCAGTGAGAAATGTTTTTTTAATTTTGTACTTTTAATTTCTAAGTGAACCCAATTTATTCCCCCCCCCCCCTCCATCTTTAAAAAACAAAGGATAGTCCTCAAAATCCCCTTTTCCATGTATTTTCACACGTGACTTAAGGTACTTCTCCAATTTTTAAAATTTTGTATCATGTTTTCTATAAGTTAAACCCTAGCTTGTCATAGGCTCTTAATACACCAATGTTTACCGAATCATAACAAAAAGTAAAATAGCAGTCGACTGAAAATGACCAATTTCGCATTTTATTCTAATGAAAATAAAAGAATGGGTGCATGGATGGAAAAGGTTAAACTTACGTCAAAACTACAAAATATTTCTGACTGGATCAGTGAAATCTATTTTCAGGGGTTCTCAGGCCCGAAAGCGTTCTAAAAAAGTTCGAAAGCCGACCGAAGATTAAAAAGCAAGGAAAAAATTTATAAAATCAGATTGAAATACAAATATTCTTCTTTTACAGTATTTGGTGTGATGTGATGTCCCCTTCCCTTGGTTATCCCCCCCCCCATTTNTAGCAGCCCCCCTCGGCCAACGCAACACCTTACACTAAACTCAAGTTAGTTTATAAAGTTGACCCGTTCAGCGCGCACCTGTGTTTGAGCTCGCGAATTTACATTAGTATGATTTGATTAAAGGGAATGTAGACGCTATTTAACGTGACTCTTCATATATAGAGTAGCATTTCTTCTTCAGAAAAGTGTCAAGTTTTTTTTACATTATATATTGCTTGGATTAAGGTTTAAAGGGCGTTGTTGCAAATCATACAAACCACACTTAAAATGTCCACGACAGCCCTCTGGACGTGTTTAAAAAATTTCTATTTAAAAATTAACTTTTTAAAAGTGTTGTATGAGTAGAATTAGTCATAAATGATACATCGTCGATGATTTCTCAGACCCCCTTCCTTCATTTTTGTTCACATACTTTTTAACTAAAAACCTTTACACTAGTGTTTTATATATATATTTTCTAACAATTGTTTTTGTTTATTTATAATGTCGACGTGAATGATACAACTTCATACAAAAATGTTTTCAAATATGGTTAGTCGGCACGACGAATCGAAAGAATTGGAGAGGGGTAGTGGGGAGGGAAAGGTTGCCATAGAGGGGAGGGGGGGGGGGGGGCGTTTACTAACGTTCTAATATAGAGTTTTGCTTTATGGTTTGGTTTTCTCGATAAAGAGAAAATATCTGTCCAAAAACTTTATAACACTGCGAACCAAAATAATAGTGTTATAAATAGTTAATTACATATTTGTATGTGTTATTATCAGTCGAGATTGACCTTGACATTGAAATTATAATTAAAACATATATTTATCCTTTTTCTTTTTTTAACAACAATTTATGTGCACTGCTATTTTATATTTCAGAGACTAATTTAGTATTGTTTTAAAATGATGTTTTGATGAAGGAATTTATGAAAAATGCAGATAAGGTAAAAAGTGGTAAAAAATCTCATGGCATTTATCCAAATTAGGCCGTTTATCACGAAGGCATGAGTTTTGCTATTAAAATTTAAAAACGATTAACGGTGAAAAAATCTTATCAAAATGTTTAATAATGTTTTAGAATCCAAGAATATTAAAGATTTTTTTTATAATTGTGTAAAACTAAATTTTTTGTTTGTTTTATGTTTAGCCTTTTGAAGATCCAATGAATATTTAAACATGCCCACCACATTTTTCATCGTAATGTTGACTATCATTTGCAGGGTTAAATGATGAAGAAGCTGTTTAACGGTGTTGGTCTGGGGGGTGGAGGAGGAGGGTGGGGCCACAATTCACCTGGGAGAGGTTGATGATGATAAATCAATTAGATTATAAAGAATTTTTGAGTAATTATAATCTATTCCAAAAAGCATTTAAGTTCTAGCTAAACACTCGATCAAATTATTTACGTCGTAGATTCCATCAAACTAAAATTCATTATTCATGGAAACCTTTTAAACAATTATTTGGAGAGGGGATACATTCTGTTAATATACACACTTGCTTTATTTACACTTTCTTGTTAATACATTTCAATTGGCGTATTTTATCCATAATTTTTGGTTCAATCCTTCTAGTGGAATTCTGGTATTTTCCTCCCAAAACACCTTCTTTTTCTGACTTTTTCAAGGATTGTCTGAAATATATATTTTGAAAAATAAAAAATGATTATCTGCCCTGTAGGTTGGTCCGGGACAAGGATGGGTTGAGGAGAAGGTTGGAGGAGGAGGAGAGGGAGTTCAACATCAGGAAGAAGGAGTTCGTCGCAAACCTCGTTAATCTAGAGAAACAGGTGACATTATTAGATTATTAAAGGGACTGTGCGCGAAAATTTGCTGTCTGATTCATAAAAGTTGGAAAGAGATAAATTCGTTTGATTCCCTTCCTTGTTTCTGCTGCATAAATCAACAATTTCCGTGTACGCCTAAACCACATTTTAAATTAAAAATAATTCCGAAAGAGAAAAATCTCCATCTTTTTGTTAAAAAAGGTTATTTAATATGACTATAAATAATTCTTGATTTTTATTTTTAAATATAAAAACAAACAAAAATCGATTTTATTTTTTATTTTGTTTCTGACCCATCATAGGAGGTTGAAAGAAGAGAGAAGGAATTAGAGAAGAAGAAAGAAGAATTAAAAGAGAAGAAAAGATTGAACAAACAGGTTGTTGACAAGGTAAAAAAACATGACAATAAAAAATGTAAAAAACTATCGACATAAAAACGTTACTTTTTATTTAAAAATGATTTTGCGCTCTTTTTTAATATTTACAGAAAAGACATTTTACATGAAAATACAAACCAACATTAAAAAGGGATATTTCACCTTTATCTCATGTTATCGTAATTCTCATGACCCCTCAATTACTTTTTTCTCTGGTTCGTAAATCCGCGAGTCCCTTTTCTTGAAAAACCACAACTAAGAATAAGAAGTTTTAGGTAGAAAATCAATGATATCTTATTCATGTGGAAAGGGTACCGTCGTGAATCTGACATTCCACTCTATAAATACGTCTACGGTCCCTTTAAAAATGTCCCTGAGCGCCAATATTATAGTTTTTTTCATGCTTTTGACCATGGACTTGTGCACTAACGACATTGATTGTAAAAATCTCTTTTTTTCTGAAAAGGACTGTAAAGGTAATTTCAAGTAACCCTTCATAAAAATGCAATTATCAATTCACAACATTAAATTAAATGCTTTGTCTGATCAAGTGCGAATAAGATTACAAGCAATGTTTATAATTTTTAAAAATGATTATTTTCAACTGTGGTTTCAATACTTTAGTGGCTAGAGCATTTTTACTCCAGGTAAACATATAAAAGCCTTTTCACTTCACCTAAAAAAGATAATATCTTCCATATTATTGATCAGATAAAGGATTCAGGGGTACCGTTGTGAATCTGGCAATCCCATCTTTGCATAGATATAGGAACACTTGAAATTACGCTAGCAGCTCCTTTATACACGGTTAATATGTATTTACCTTATTTTCTTTTCGTGCAATGACGACAAAATTGGAAATAAAGTAGAAATTCATCTAAACGGGGAATCCAATCGTTAATGAGTCTGGGAAAAAAAATCATCAGCAATGTGGGTCGGCTTTGGAGCCAGCCTAGGGCCTTAGTGATATACATTCGCCTATCTATTCTAAGAATTTCGCCCTAAAAATAATCAAATTAAAAAAATGGCGAACTGAGACCGAGAGTTAGTATATCGATATGGGTATCATAAGTTGCAGCTGAAGCCACTGATAACTCTCCACCTTTTTATTTTTAATAATTATGAATTTGTTAGGTTTATGACCAAAAAACCAGTTTTTTATTTTTAACTGAAATATACTTTTCTGAATTCAGTGTTAAAATACCTTTAACACAGAATATTTTTCATTTTCGTAAACATAGTTAGTTTTACAACATTTTACATATAATGTTACTAGTTATAAACGAAATAGGCATTTCATTTTACAAAATGATTTGGCTATTCATTCATAGCAATGATTACAGTTAATAATGTTAGAGATATTTAACGATATGCTATATTATTATATTATTAAAAGACTGATCTTTTTTTCGATCTTAAGTGACTTTTCTGGTCTATTTTAAAAAAAATATCTCTCAGCTCGCCATTATTTTGAAAATTGTTTGAGAATATTTAGGCGCATATATCTCGCACACACACTAAGGAAGAAAAAGTGAAAAATAGACCCACCCTAATTAGCATTGGAGTACTACAGGAGACCCCCTTTCATTGGAGACCCTCATGGACGTCTCATCACCAGATTTTTATTGGAGAATCCCGGATTTTCATGGGAGATCCCAGATTTTCATTAGAGAATCACAAATTTTCATCGGAGACCCCAGATTTTCATTGGAGAATCCCAGATTTTTATCGGAGACCCCAGATTTTCATTGGAGAATCCCAGACTTTCATTAGAGACCCCTAGCAATTTATTTGGAGACCCCAACATATTCATTAAGGATCTCCAATAAAAATTGGGGTGTAAACAAAAAGTGGGGTTTTAAAACGAAAAGTGAGGGCTTAAAACAAAAAGTGGGGGCTTAAAACGAAAAGTAGAGCTGAAAACGAAAAGTGGGGGCTTAAAACGAAACGTTGGGGCTTAAAACGAAAAGTGGGCTCAAAATTAAAAGTTAAAGGACAGTGTCTCCAATGGAAAATCTTGAGGTCTCAATGGAAAATCTTGGGGTCTCAAAGGAAAATCTTGGGGTCTCAATTGAAAATCTGGGGTCTCAATTGAAAATCTGGGGTCTCAATTGAAAATCTGGGGTCGCAATTGAAAATCTGGGATCTCCATTGAACATTTGGTTAACGAACTTCAGTCGCATTGACGATAAGATATGCTTTTTTTTGTGTCACAAATAAAAAAATATAATTATTAAATTTCTGTACAATTCCTTTAAAATAGCCACTTCCAAAGATGTGAAGAAAACCCGGAAAACTATGATAGAATTACACGCGTATAAAATATTAATCTCATTATTTGGAAAAACTTTTGTGACAGAATATTTTCCTTTTGGATGAATCCATTAAAGCCACACGTAATTCAACCCTACCTCCATATATTCCTATAATTCAACCCTACCTCCATATATTCCTATAATTCAACCCTACCTCCATATATTCCTATAATTCAACCCTACCTCCATATATTCCTATAATTTCCTCGAACTTTAAATTTTCTTCTTCCCTTTTCCTCTTTACTACTTTCTTATTTTAACACTCTTATCCTTCTTTGAGACCTTTATTCAATTTTTCTCTTATTTCCTTCTCTTCTTTTTTCTCCTCATTGTACTCTTTTTACTTCTTTTTTTCTCTGCAATGTACTCTTTGTACTTTTCCCCTCTTTTTCTCCGCCATGTACTCTTTGTACTTTTCACCCTCTGTTTCTTCTCTATGTACTCTTTGTACTTTTCCTTTACTTCTTTACATAGGTTTTGTACTTTATAAACTATATATTTAATTAGTTTGAAGAACAGATGAAATTATTGGAGAAAAAACTTGCTGAGGTCAAAGAAGAACAAATTAGGTATAATTCATTTATTTTTAAGTATTTATTTTTCATCATTCCTCATTCCTAATTCATTATTCATTATTCATCATTCATCATTCATAATTCATCAAGCATAATTCATCAAGCATATATTCATCATTCATAATTTATCATTTATAATTCATCATTTTTAATTCATTCATATTTCATAATTCATCATTCATAATTATCATTCATAGTTCATCATTCATAATTCATCATTCATAATTCATTGTTCATAATTCATCATTCACAGTTCATCATTCATAATTCATCATTCATAATTTATCATTCATAGTTCATCATTCATAATTCATCATTCATAATTCATCATTCATAATTCATAGTTCATCATTCAAAATTCATCATTCATAATTCATCATTCATAGTTCATCATTCATAATTCATCGTCATAATTCATCATTCATAATTCATCATTCATAATTTATCATTTAATTCATCATTCATAATTCATCATAAATTCTATCATTGTATCATTGTATCATTGTATCATTTGTATCATTGTATTATTCTATCATTTTATTATTTTATTATTTTATTATTCTATCATTGTATTATTCTATCATTGTATTATCCTATCATTGTAATATTCTATCATTGTATTATTCTATCATTGTAGTATTCTATCATTTTATTATTCTATCATGGTATTATTCTATCATTGTATTATTTTATTATTTTATTATTCTATCATTGTATTATTTTATTATTTTACTAGCCTTATAGGGCGCTTCGCGCCCATCTTCTAGATTAATTGTGAACATGTTCTCTTTGTGTACATCGTAAAACAAAACAAAAATAATTCGCGGATTTTCACAAAAAAATTTTGCGGATTTTCAAAATTTTCAAAAATTTAATGAGATCGAATTTTGATGGAGACAAATATTTGAAATTTTGATCATTCATAAACCTTCCCTGTGGTCACGTGATGTCCCACAAAAAAATTGGGCCCGATCGGTTCAGCCGTTTTGACGTTTATTGGATACAAACAAACAAACAAACAGACAGACAGACAAGCCAAATTTATATATAGATTTTATTATTCTATCATTGTATTATTCTATCATTGTTTTATTCTATCATTGTATTATCCTATCATTGTATTATTCTATCATTGTATTATCCTATCATTGTATTATTCTATCATTGTGTTATTATCATGTTCTTTCCTTTATTTATTTCGAACTGTCATATTTTTAATCTACACTAATTCTAATGATTTAATAATTAATATTTGTATTATTATAGAACTGAGAGTGGTATAGAAGGGGAGATATCAGAGATTCAAAGAAAACTTGATGCGGTACTTTTACTTTCCCATTTATCATATTTTTCAAACCAGACCAGTAGTGAGGATGGTGACGGGGGGTTATTTACTGTTTTGTAACTTTTATTTTTCTATGATTTACTTGAACTTGTAATCTTTGTTGGATTAATTTTGTTCTATCCGTTCTCAGGTCCGAATGAGCTTGAATGAGAAGTTGGAAAGTATGGATGAACCATCCGCCCCCAGCCCTGGTTCATCACATTCTCATCCCTCCTCTCCTCCTCTCTATCCTGACCTACTGGGACTCTCAAGGTGATAGATACATCGAATAGAAAACAGTAAATCAGTAAATACAATCGCTTCATCCTTTACCCCGGTACTTTTTTGTTGCAAATAACTCTTTGAATCAATTGATCACCATTCCATACTACTCAAAGATGCTTTTGAGGCACTGGATGATCAACACTTGAAGGGACTGTTTTTTTGCATCTGTGGTTTCCCTGAAAAAGTGATTTGCACATTTCTTGCTTATAAGAAACGGTGAAGAAATTATCAGAATTAATAACTTCTCGAGTAAAAAAGAGGCATTATATTCCACATTTTTGATCAAAAAGGTTGTAAATCATTGTCATGCATTGCCATCTTTGCTGGGAGGGTCACTTAAACATTACGCCTACAGTTCCATTTATCCAAAAATCTCAAAACTTATGGTACTTTTTGGAAATATGAAAAATTCCAAATAGAATAAGTGTAAGACCGTTATTTTGTTTCCGTACTGCAGGTGTACATCACACATTTGTGATGTATAACATTTTGGGTCCTGGAACATATTTTTATAGAAAATAATTTCTTGAAAATAATTTAATTTTCTCTAAATCAAATCTCTGACAACGTGTAATGCATTTTACAAGCTGTCATAAGCTTTACTTTACATTCCTGGGACCATACTGTTTAATTGTGATGTACTGGGACCATATTGTTTTATTGTGATGTTCTGGGACCATACTGTTTTATTGTGATGTACTGCTAATAATTTGTTAACATTTACATGAATTGTACACTTAAACTCATTTTCAGTTTCAAAGAGACTGAACAAATTCATACCAAAGGGATAGTCAGGGATAGTTATATTTTCCTTCTATTCTAATCTCTGTTCTGTGGTTAAATCCTGATGAAAAGAATGTAATTTAACCAATGTTTTTCGGGATATGTTATAATATTTATGAATTAGATGGTTTGTTTGAGATATATGATACGGTATGAATCTACGGAAAGTGTCGAAAACATGCGCGAAATTATTTTAAATCTTTTTTTACGCATGCTTAACAGAGGTTTTTATTGATCACTGGCTCTTATACACATCTATGATCAGCAAGACAGGTTTAATGAAATCCAACATTTGAAATTAGGAAATTATGCGTTTTAAATTTATTTTTATACGAGAAATCCTTTACAGCCCAATCAGAAAGAAAATTACTGATACTACGCGACCTTAAAGCTCTTCTAGTTTTGATTTATGAGTTTTCAGTTATGATTGAAAAAATTTTAAATAAAAGATTTGAATATAACGTAGAATTTACCTTAATTTGAAATGATCTTTAATCAAATTGAAATTCCAAGTGAGCTACCCCCCCCCCCTCCCTTTCTTTCTTGTCTTCTTTGTAATATGCAAAATAAATTAAGTAAATTAATTCAGAACTGTGATTAATTAATAAAATAAAATCCAACCTAATCACACTTAAACTAACTTTGATTACTTTCGGATACTTAATCATTTTGAAATACATCAAATTTTATAACTAATGATGTATTGCAAAGTGATTCATAACAGGGAACTTATTTAAGTCATAAAAACACAAACAAGAAAACACGTCATAAATAAGAATTTTTGCCCAAAAATCTTCCGGATAAAATCTACTGAAAACAATCACTGATACATTGATAACTCATTTAAAAACTATTAAGCATAAGTTAATATTAGACCTAATTATATTTGATTTCAAATAAACTAATTTCAAAGTTTTCAAAATCTCAAAAAAATAATTATATTTCAAAGAATTAACTATTTAATTAAAGTGTGTATTTTATTTGGTCGAAAAATATTTAAGATATGAAAATCCACGAAAATCATAAAACCTGTTTTGCCGGAATTAAAAATGCGCGATATAAATATTGCCTATAATAAAGTTATGTTTTATTTTAAGATCAAGTTCTGGTTATGTAGGAAGGGATATGCATGGATCAACAGGTAGTCAAATAATCTATACTTTTTAATTATAAATCTTGTCATTTAAAAAAAATCACGATTAAAGATCATCAATTTCCAGACAATAAACTTAACTTAACTGAACAGCTTTATTATGAATTAGATATCCATGCTTGTTTAAAATTAAAAAAAATAATTACGAAAGTAACTTGTGCATTTCTACCGCAAGAAAACGTATAAGAAATATCAGAATCAAACACTTCGAAACTTCCGAAAAAATAACAATTTCTTCCGCATTATTGATCAAGTTAAGGTATCAAGGATACCCTTTATGAATCGGACATTGCCATCTTTGCATAGAGGGTCACTTGAAATTACGCTTACAGTCCCTTTATCTCGAGCTGAACCTGGTTTTGAAAAGCTCATCCTCTCTAATTTGAGAAGTTATTTTCGGTAAAAGAATTGTCAAAGAATGGATTCTCAATCTAAATATTCCAAATTGTTTCAAATAGAACGACATTCAAGAGAATTCAAATAAAAAGTAGAAGATTTTTTTTATTTAAAATTAAACTTGACATTTCAATATGACCGAGCCAAATAATAAATATATAATGGAAATTCCTGACAGCAACAAATATATTCTTCTGAACAAGAAACCATAAAATAAATTTAAATCTGTTACTTTTATCAAATCTAAAATGAAAAATACCAAATCTGGTGCACTGCGCAAATTATTTCAGTTTTTGTACTTATCTCTGGTAATCCCCGGGCAAACACATCTAAACCTTCAGTACAAATCTAGATTTATTACTTACTATCAATTATCTTAAAGGAACTCCACACAATAGTTTTATTCATTCTCTTTTCATCAAACTAGGCTTTCAGGGCGATTCGCGCCCATCTTTTAAATTCGCACCCATTTTCTGTTTGTATACATTGTAAAACAAAATCTCACGGATTTATAAAAATTTCGCGATTTTTAAAAATATAATGGAAGTCGAATTTTGCTGGAGGCTAATTTTTGAAATTTTGATAATCAATAAACCTTCCCTGGGGTCCTGTGAGGTATCATATCAGTTTTGACGTTTATTGAATACAAACAAGCAGACAAACATTCAAACAAACAAAGTGTGCATGATTATTGTTCTTTAGATTTGGATAATCTTTATTTTCTATTATTTCTTAGAAGTCTTCATAACATATATTCTTTCAAACACAGGGAGCGCTATTATTGGGAAAATGAGCGGTCGTTGTAACTTCAAGTGTTCAATTTTAATTGTTTAATTCTAATAATTTGCTCAATTAAAGATGTATTAAGCAGAAATGTGTTATCATTAATAAACCACAAATGAAAAGATTTGTTAAAGAGAAGATGATAAAGTTCTAATACATTATTGAACATACAGAGGTTTCCAGGGAACCTATGTGAATCGGAATCAGATCAGAATTAAATAATTTTTAGTTTCTTATTTTTGATATTTCATTATTTCATTTAATCATGTTTTCTTTATGTTTATGTTTGTGCAAAGGAGTTGAGTTTTTGGCGCAAACTCTGATTTTCTAATCTCTTATCTCTGTAATACAATGTCGTAGACCTTAGATATTTCAAACTTTTAATACTTATAAATTAACTAGTCTAAGTTTGAAATATCAAAGTTTTGCACCATAAGATTACAAAGATATTGGAATCAGAAGATTTTAGTTTGTGGCAAAAACTCAATTCCTTTATAATTGATCACAAGGATCATTATGAAATTAATATTTGAATATTACAGGATCCTCCCCCCAGGTATCTCTCGCATCAACTACCAGTACATCATCAACAAGAGTAGATTCAGACTGATCAGTGTAGAGCCACAGATCAATCAAGATCAAATGATCAAAACCAATCCATTCAGTGAAAAAGAGAGAGTAAAGAATATATTTCTGAGTAAATACATAATAATAGTGATCAATCAATTTAACAGAATCAGATCAATCAAATTTTCATGGAAAGATCATTCTTGTGATTGATCCAAACATTGACAAAGATCATTTAAAAACATAGAAATAGATAAGAACAGAACAAAATTCAATCTATGATCGTTCAAGAGGTCAATTTGAACAGACTTGATCACTGACAATTTCAGTCATTCGTGATTATTTAAGTGTGCAAAATATTATTGTACACAAAAATACTCCGTTTTTCCTAATAAGTTCATGCAAAGATTTGACTTTAAATCTAACACTTTCTAACTTTTACAAATAGCTTACTATGTTTTTGAATATTTGTCAACAGAAATGAAGTCTTTGCAACAAACTCATTGGAGAAACTATAGATAAACTGTGAACTTTTTTTTAACTCAACCCCCCCGTCAAGTATGAACATTTCTGAATTAAAACAGTTTTAAATGTAATAATTTTTCAATTTCTTAATTATTTGAATTGTAATTCTTGAAATTGTTACATAAAGTGTTTGCGTCTGTAGCAAAACTGCATTTTTATTTTGCGTAAAGTAAATAGACTCCATATATATATATATATATTGCTACATTTATAATTTCAATATTAAAAAATATTTGTTTCTGTAAAGCTGGAAAATATGAGATTTTTCGATTGTTTTCTGTCGAAACATCCAAGTCTGTTTTCATCCTCGATATGCTGAAAATATATTAAATTAAAAATACCTCCGTTTTTCATGTAAAAGAATTCAAAAATATTTTTTAAAATATTTTTGAATTCTGTTTAAACGTTTGGGGTTGATGTATACAAGGTGTCCCAATAAATCGATTTTTAGGTTTCTATTTTTATTCAGATACCTTGTACAAGATAAAGCCGAATTTAAATAGTGGAAATGTTTAAATGTTAAGTATGAGGCCATTATTTTCTTCTGAAATATTTTGATCAAAAGTATATTACAAAGTCTATTTATTTTTCTGAAGCTTTTATTACAACGATTTTTATTTAGGAAGCTGGAGGACAGTCAACTTAAATTATTTTTAATAAGCTTCGTGAATAAAAATCTTTGTAATAAAATGCTTTTGAAAAATGAACAGGATCAAAGACTTGTGAGACTTGTGATATACTTTTCATCAAAATATTTGAGAAGAAAATAATATTTTGAGCGTTTGAGGCCTGAGAGGACCTGAGCTTAGGTTTAATAAAAACACTGATTAAAGGAATATTTTCAATTTTCCATGTTTAGAGTATGATTTAGCCCGGAGTGCGTCAAATCAACCACGAAAATCCGCAAAATATAATATTAACCCGGTTTTATAAACTCGACCCTGTGCAAAATTAGATGCAACTTAAATCCGAAAGCCCAAGTCCTAAATAAGGCCCAACGGCAGATTAGACCTAAGTCGTATTTTCCTGAATCTTTTAAATCGCGGGCTCTGTAAAAGTAAGTTCTGAAGGAAACCATAATTAAAAATGATCAATTAAAGATAGAAAAAGAATAAATCCATCATTTTTCTCAGAAAAAAACGTTTAGATCGGACAATTTAAACTAACTTTATATAATCCCTTTTATGAGTTTAGTTTGTTATGGCAAGTTAAACTACAATTCTGTATAGTCGTCTCAAGGTCTCAGCCTTTATAGGTCCCCTGTAGTGCGACTATCTGATCCCCTGGTTCAACTACTTCTCGGTACTCATTAATTCTCACCTCTGATAAACCGAAACATCTATCTATATACTTTGCTTGTCTGTCTGTTTATTTGTATCCAATAAACGTCAAAATGGCTAAACCGATTGGGCCCAAATTTTTTGTGGGACCTCCTGTGACCCCAAGGAAGTTTTATAGAGGATCGAATTTACAAAGTCCGCGAAATTTTTGTTTGTTTTTATTTTACAATGAATACTAAGAGAAAATGTTCCCAATTGAAATAGAAAATGGGTACGAAGCGCCATGAATGCGTGGTATTTTTATATTTTCATGAATAAAAACATTAGATTTTTTGCTGAATCATTGATGAGTGTAAATTGTTAATTGTCTTATAGCATTCACTCATTTTAGAAATCTTCATGTTTTATTTTAATTATTTACTCTGATGTGAATTAGGTTTACAGTTCAGTGAACAACAAATATAATCATAATAACCTATGCACAATTAAAGGGGGGGGGCTAGAAGGTTTCGCCCCCCTTTGGTCCTTATCCATTTTTATTGAAAAATTACGAAGTTTCAAATGAGGGCTCTATAATGGCAAAAAGAGAAAGGTGGGGCACCAAGAAAATGCCCCCCCCCTGCCTTGATTTTTGAGGATTAATCATAATTCACAACAAACAAACAAGCTCGGAATTACAGAGTATAATTTATCAAATATTCTGGTAACAACTTCAAGTTTAAAAGTTAGAATATATATCAATAATAGTAAAATATGTAAATTGTTTAAAGGAATAATTTAAGGGGATGGGGAGGTAGGGGGGGGGGAAATTGGATATGGCGTATGTCTGACTTGAAATGCTTATGGTCTGGCTATGTCTGGCTATGAATGTTTATGGTCTAGCTATGTCTGGACATGAATGTTCATGGTCCAGCTATGTCTAGCTATGAATGTTTTTGATCCAGCAATGTCTGGCTATGAATGGTTTTGGTCCAAATATGTCTAGCTATGAATGTTCATGGTCCAGCTATTTCTGTCTATGAATGTTTATGGTCCGGCTATGTCTGTCTATGAATGTTTATGGTCCGGCTATGTCTGTCTATGAATGTTTATGGTCCAGCTATGTCTGTCTATGAATGTTTATGGTCCAGCTATGTCCGTCTATGAATGTTTATGGCCCGGCTATGTCTGTCTATGAATGTTTATGGTCCGGCTATGTCTGTCTATGAATGTTTATGGTCCGGTTATGTCTGTCTATGAATGAGCCGGAAATGAGATAAGTGAGAAAAGACGAGCTGAGTACACACTTCCTTATTTTTAGACTTGGAAGTAAACAACCTTTTTGTTTATCTTACAACCCAACACGTACTAAAGGGGGGGCGGTAATATGTATGCCCCCTTTTAGATCAGTTTGACCCACATGCGTTAGTCATAGATAAATAAATAAACATAGATAGCTTATGTACGCAAAATCACCAAGAATTGTACAGTCTGCGAACTCATACTTCTAGGTGTCAAAGTGTACTTCAATGATAAGCGGGGTGGTTTGGTGTTTTAATGGATTTCATAATTATTAAACCACTCTGGATTGAATTTTATGGAACTATTTGAACAACAATATTTCACTGAGCAATATATCATATTGACGAAAACTGAAGAAGGACATGAGAAGGACTAAACTAACATACAGAACTCATGTAAACCACAAGTACTCAATGACATAAGAAAAGCCAATGTTCACAACCGACCTAGTTAATCTATATAATAGGAATATCTTTAAAACATCTCTGTACATTTATATCTTTCAAGATGAAAAATGTCGTCATATGCGCAATCTATCTTTATCTATAGCGTTAGTATGTCGTATTTCCTGTTGAATTATAAACCATGCAATTTTTATACAAGAAAAGATTTGGGTAAAAAAACAGTCGACAAATTATTCGAAAATTTAATCAGACTTAGATCTTTTATAAAAGTTTCTAATTCTTGTAGATAAAACTATTTTCAACAAATCTGGTACGTTAGGGCATAAAAAATGAATTGACTAAAGTATTGCAATGATTAAATCTTGTTGCAAACTTAAGAGACAAGGGAATGATGTCAAACTTTATTGAGGTAAAACTTAAAACTCTTTTGCCTCCGTAATAGCCAACCTTCGCGATATGAAATAAATAGCAACATATTTGGCATACCTATCATTTTCCCCTTGGAACCGCGCCACCCGGAAAAATCTATGGTTTTCACTATATTTAACAAAAAAGATTAGAGTTCTATAAACCTCGGAATTATTTGCGGCATTCTACACCAGGACTATCTGAAAATGCCGACAAACTATAGTTTCATTGAGACAATATCTGAGCTGAGCACAAAGGCTAATGGGCTATGTGGCGAAACAAATTTAATCAATCTTAAAATATCTTTATGTATTTTCATCACTGGAGCATACAGTTGATTATCTTTGATTTAACTCAATCTAAACCAATAGACCCCCCTGGGACATCCCCTCAGGGGGGAATTCAAATATCCAGTGTAGGGGGAGGGGGGGGAGGGGAAGAACAAGGTCGTGTAAATAAACCGAATGTCCAAATTTTTGCAAGGATACCCCTGCTGAATATATTGGATTATTAACAAATACAATTAATTGAATTGTAAAGGCAGCTTTTCTTCTTAATTTTTCTTTTGATAATTTTATTTTTTTAACTTAACACTTATAATATTTAGTGAAATGTTGTAAAAACTAAAATATTTTGGACACCTGCGTATGACATACAATATGATGCTTGTTAGCGGTGAGGTTCTCTAGATTCTTCAACCAAGTTTTTATGTTAAAGAAGAGAAGATACAGCATAATAAAAAATGGCTGCAAATGACAGTCCATCATGATAAGAATGGAAAAATTAATGAATACCCTAAACCCAGTTCCTTGGTGTAGAAACCTCCGTCATAAACAGTAGTTAGGGAGCGGAGAAATTACTCCGGAGGAGTGCGGCAGAACCTGTCTCTAAACCCGTCCTAACTCCGGTATAAAGAATTGACTGGAGCTGGATTGAGTTCAGAAGAGGGCAGGGGATGAATTCTCCTGGTTCTATCCTACATATCATCCTCATTCTTCATGCACTCGACCTTCAAGCCATTCAAGGTAGGCCACTTTTTTATGGGGAAACTAATTTGAACGGGAGGTGGGGGGCATTTCCTTCTGTTCCACTTTACTATTTTTTACAACACTAAAACTTTAACCGAGTGTTGTCCCACCAACAAAAAAGTGTTTTTAAAAAGATACATGAGGCCTTCAGGAAAAATATTGGGTTTTTTTTATCGTGTCATCGTTTTTTGTTGTTGCTTTGCTTTGCTTTGCTTTATAATTTTCTTACAATTACTTAAAAATATCTAAACACTTGGTAAACATCTTACGAATAATATATCCTTGGTCTAGATAGCTGGCCTGGGAATAATCTTGTCATTTAACTATTTGACTATTCATATCAGTGCGGTTGTAAGAAAGTAGATTTGTGTTTATCTTCTATATATTGAATATAATAAAGCTCATGTATATATATTTATATATTTATATGTTAGCTATAGCTGGCCAAACGGCTTGCCTGAATGGGTTGAAATTTTTTGATGAAACCCATTTCGAATTATTCTCAAATCTAGCATTTTCTCTCCGTCCTCAAAGAAATAGCATTTTCTCTCCGTCCTCAAAGAAATAGCATTTTCTCTTCATACCAACAGATCTAGCATTTTCTCTCTGTCCTAACAGATCTAGCATTTTCTCTCTGTCCTAACAGATCTAGCATTTTCTCTCTGTTCTAACAGATCTAGCATTTTCTCTCTGTCCTAACAGATTTAGCATTTTCTCTCTGTCCTACCAGATCTATCATTTTCTCTCTGTCCTAACAGATCTAGCATTTTCTCTCTGTCCTAACAGATCTAGCATTTTCTCTCTGTTTTAACAGATCTAGCATTTTCTCTCTGTCCTAACAGATCTAGAATTTTCTCTCTGTCCTAACAGATCCAGCATTTTCTCTCTATCCTAAAGGAACTAGCATTTTTTCTCTGTCCAAACAGATCTAGAATTTTCGCTCTGTCTTATAGCAGATCTGGATTTTTTCTTTATCCTAATCGACCTTTCTTTCTTATCCTAACAGATCTAGAATGTCCTCTTTATCCTAATCGACCTACCTTTCTTATCCTAACAGATCTAGAATGTTCTCTTTATCCTAATCCACCTACCTTTCTTATCCTAACAGATCAAGAATGTTCTTTTATCCTAATCGACCTTTCTTTCTTATCCTAACAGATCTAGAATGTTTTCTTTATCCTAATCGACCTACCTTTCTTATCCTAACAGATCTAGAATGTTCTCTTTATCCTAATCCACCTACCTTTCTTATCCTAACAGATCTAGAATGTTCTTTTATCCTAATCGACCTATCTTTCTTATCCTAACAGATCTAGATATTCTCTTTATCCTAATCGACCTACCTTTCTTATCCTAACAGATCTAGACATTCTCTTTATCCTACTCGACCTACCTTTCTTATCCTAACAGATCTAGATATTCTCTTTATCCTAATAGACCTACCTTTCTTATCCTAACAGATCTAGACATTCTCTTTACCCTAATCGACCTACCTTTCTTATCCTAACAGATCTAGAATGTTTTCTTTATCCTAATCCACCTATCTTTCTTATCCTAACTGAACTAAAATGTTCTTTTATCCTAATCGACCTACCTTTCTTATCCTAACAGAACTAGAATGTTCTCTTTATCCTAATCCACCTACCTTTCTTATCCTTATTCTTATTCGTAACAATATACTTATCTCCGTCCTAATAACATACATATCTTCATCATAATAATATACTTATTTCTTTCCTAACAATATACTTATATCCGTCCTAACAATATATACTTATCTTCGAACTAACAATATACTTCTCTCCGTCCTAACAATATATTATCTTCTTCCTAATAATATGCTCATCTCCGTAGTCCTAACACTATACTTATCTCCATACTAACAATAGATTTATCTCATTCCTAATAATATGCTTATCTCCTTCCTAATTTCTTTTCAGTAGTATAAATGGACACCGTAGAACAATGAAATAGGAATTCTCTTACTCTTACTTTTTTCCCTTAGATGTAAACAACTTTATCATGAAAACTATAAATAATTCAAATTCCGTGTAAAAAACACAAATCAAAATCTATTTTTAATCTGTCAGGAGAAAAATGTTTTGGTTTTATTCTGGTTTCGCCGACAACATCCGAATATATAAATTTATAAATAAAGTTTGTTGATAATCCAAAATCAATCCTTTAGATTAACTTTTTAATCCTTCTTTTGAATGTTTGAATATTGACGCTAATATTGGTTCATTTAAGTCAAAATATACTATTTTTTTGTTACTGATATACTATTTGTATGAATGGTCACAATTAGTAACTCAAAATATGTTAGAATATATATATATATATATATATTTATATATATTTATACATATAGTATTTTCAACTTTTTTCAGTTTAAATATACATTTTATATTATGTGAAAGTATGGAAAAGGCACAAGTGCTAGAAATGCTCATCTTTCTCCCCCCCAGCCCATTACAGGATACATAATGTACTTTTAGAACAGTTTCGCACTTCATAGTATTTACAATAAAAGTTAGTAATGAAATTATTTAACAAAGGCACTTTTTTGGACGTTGGAAAAAACAAACTATTGCAATTTGTATAGGTGGATCTGTTTTAACCAGTCATGATGGGCTTTTTTGCCCATCTGGAAGCAATCGAAAGTTTGATAAATATTGAGTTTCCAGGTGTTTCATGGCAAAGCGCTGGCTCATTTATAACTTAATTTTTACAAAATTGTTTATATATTATTTTATTTTGATATTTTATATTTTGAATTTTGGTTTTTCTCAGATTATATATTCCATATGAAGTATGAGACACGTAAAACCTAGGATAATTATTTTAGGTACTTTTAAACTGAAGGTGTTATCAACTGTTTGAGAAGAAGTTTCTCTGCCTGAGTCTTTTGATCCTAAACTTAATAGTTTCTTAATTCAAATTAGAGATAGGATGTATATGTATAGTATTCACCCGTCTACAAGCCGATGATGAATTTTAATTCTAGGGCTGACTACGAAAGTAGATCTAAAATCAATTGACAATAAAAGTTACAAATGAAATATTTGAAAATTAGATCTGAAAAAATTCAAAACTAGTTCAATAAGGGTGGTTTTGTAAAAAACTGTTTACTTTTTGTTATTTGAATCTTGCAAAGCTATAAGTGTAAAAACGAATATTTGTTCTATATGAAATCTAGAAAAATTGTGAAATTGCAATTTTTTAAATTTTCAATTTGAAATATTACAACAGAGGGAATGCTACATTATCGCTCCACTTAAAAAATGAATGGCATGTCCGATTCACAACGGTACCCTTTAAAACGTTAACTATGAAGATGATATCGTTGTTTTTTATAACAGACACTAATTCTGGATATTTCCTAACTTGTCTTTGCTACTTAATTGTGCTATTCACAGTTGTAGAGAAACAGAGCAAGGATATCTCCATACTTTTTTGCTGAAAAGCCTTGATCTAGATGGGATCGTGATGGCGTACCCCAGTTAGATCAAGGAACCCACGGGATTTCCCTAGCTTCTTGAATTAAATTGAATTGAATTGGGTATGCCTCTCTATTGAAAATTGTGGTCACTTATCAAAGATATCTAGCCTGCAGTTATCAAATTTTCAAGTCAAGGTAAAGAAAGTGAGTTTTTGTTTTTAGTTTTTAAGAAATAATTGGCAAAACTCTGAAAGCTGGGTTAAAATTATGTCAACATTTTCATTAATACTTTACATATTATTGGAATCAAAACGAAGTTTTAAAAATCTCTCCCTGCACTGGCAAATTTACGTGAAATCGCCATAACTCTATGAGGTCGGTTTTGTAAAAAACTGTTTACTTTTTGTTATTTTGAATCTTGCAAAGGTATAAGATTAAGCAAATGTATGACAAAGACTTATTGATTCCTTTGCCATGAAAATATAAAGGCAAACAAAATATCTTATCATTAGTTAGCGCTGATGTATAAAGCTCTGCAATTAGTGTCAAAAAATCAGAGATACGCATCTATATATATAAAAGTCCCGCCCCCCAAACCATATGTCTTCTGAAATAACCCTTTATACTTTCTGCTTTAAAGTTTTCTTATAAAAGATGTGAAAAGTTTGGAGAGAAAACTGTGTAATTAATTCTTTTTCTGTTCCAGTAAAAAGTAGAAAGTAGATTGATAAAGAGTTAAAGAGGAAAGATGGATATGTGCGTATATACTGGAACACAATTTTGCGTATAAATAGGAACAAAATTTTTTCGAATATATATATATATTAACTACATTTTGGCTATATATTGGAACTAAATTTTGCGTATAAACTGGAAGTAAATTTTTCGTGGAACAAATTTTAATGAGTAGCGAGTGGTAGTCGAACTATTCTAACTCTTTTAACATAGTTGCAACAAAGGATCCCAAAAGATCCCTATTTACCAAAATACGTCAATCACCAAAAGCGCGAAAACACCCCTACTTTCACTGTAAAATAAATGTATTCAGAATAAAAATCAAACACGTAATTTTCGTAAAATTTTCGTAATTTTTATATTTAAATGTATAAAGGATATATGATTGTCACGAAATAAATGATCAAATATAAGGCCAAGGTACCACAAGCAGTTCTTTTAATGTATTTTTTTAATGCTTTGATGTATGAAATGATTATTTATCAAGAAATTAATAAAATACAAGGCTTTAAACATTATAACACTAATTATAACATTAATTAACCACTATTATTATAAATGTTGAATATAAAGAAAACTTTATTTGTATTCATATTGGATATGACTACATGAGTGTAAACGTAATTTCAAGTGACCTTTCATTTAAAGGGGGGCCTCACGATTCACAATGGTATCCTTTAAACTATTACTGATCAAGGATTCACAACGGTACCCTTTAAACTATTAACTGATCAAGGATTCACAACGGTACCCTTTTAACTAATACTGATCAAGGATTCACAATGGCATCCTTTAAACTATTGAAGGATCAAGGATTCACAACGGTACCCTTTAAACTATTGACTGATCAGTAATAGTTTAAAGGATACCATNCGGTACCCTTTAAACTATTGACTGATCAAGGATTCACAATGGTATCCTTTAAACTATTGACTGATCAAGGATTCACAACGGTACCCTTTAAACTATTGACTGATCAAGGATTCACAATGGTATCCTTTAAACTATTGACTGATCAAGGATTCACAACGTAAACTTTTAAACTATTGACCGATCAAGGATTCACAATGGTATCCTTTAAACTATTTACTGATCAAGGATTCACAATGGTATCCTTTAAACTATTGACTGATCAAGGATTCACAATGGTATCCTTTAAACTATTGACGTATCAAGGATTAACAACGGTACCCTTTAAACTATTTACTGATCAAGGATTCACAATGGTACCCTTTAAACTATTGACTGATCAAGGATTCACAACGGTACCCTTTAAACTATTTACTGATCAAGGATTCACAATGGTACCCTTTTAACTATTTACTGATCAAGGATTCACAACGGTACCCTTTAAACTATTGACTGATCAAGGATTCACAATGGTATCCTTTAAACTATTTACTGATCAAGGATTCACAATGGTATCCTTTAAACTATTGACTGATCAAGGATTCACAATGGTATCCTTTAAACTATTTACTGATCAAGGATGACAGATTCTATTTTCATAACTCTTGCAGTTGTTGAATACTTTGTTTGCAAGCTGTTTTATATCTAAGGAATATTGACATTTACTTTCTAAAAGTGGCAGAAAAATGAAAAAAATGTATGCATATTAAACAATAAACATGCAATGCTAGAATATATCTTGTGGAAAATAACATTCAAGTGGTTTGGATCTTGAGATGAAAGATGACTGTTCTGTTTAGGATATGGAGGTATTAGAAGACGAGCCTGGGGAAAGGTTCACATGCTACGCTCTGGAAAACGGGGGGATGTTCCACCCATTTCCAGGTACTTTAAACTACACCACACAGCTATTTATTTTATCAATTGAGATATTCCCCCCCCTCCACACCCCCCTCCACACCATTTTAAAAATAAATTAAAGAAATTGAGTCTTTGCTGCAAACCCAAATCTTCTAACTCCTTTACAACCTGATGACGTAAACCTTTAATATTTTTAGTATTTTATTTTACAGTATTCATAGTTTGAAATATCTAAGGACTACAAAAATGGAGTTTCAAAAAGATTAGAAAATCAGAGTTTGTGGTAAAGACTCAATTCCTTTTTCAGTTGGTCAGCATACAAAGGAGATCAATGCTAGATCCGAGATTCACAATATAAAAGTTCAGACTTATGATTTTCAGCAAATATTTTATAGACCCTTGATTGGATCTGAATCTAATATTTTATAGACCTTTGATTGGATCTGAATCTATTATTTTATAGACCCTTGATTGGATCTGAATCTAATATTTTATAGACCCATGATTGGATCTGAATCTAATATTTTATAGACCCTTGATTGGATCTGAATCTAATATTTTATAGACCCTTGATTGGATCTGAATCTAATATTTTATAGACCCTTGATTGGATCTGAATCTATTATTTTATAGACTCATGATTGGATCTGAATCTTATATTTTATAGACCCTTGATTGGATCTGAATCTAATATTTTATAGACCCTTGATTGGATATGAATCTAATATTTTATAGACCCTTGATTGGATCTGAATCTCTAGAACAGGGAATTATAAACAAGCAGACTCCCCATCATCCAGGTAGGTCGAGTATATTTTTAATTGAAAAATCAATATAAATTTTTTAAAAAATTTGGAAATTTTCACAAAGAAAATCAATAAATTTTGTAACTAAAAGTAGCCAATAGCAGAAAAGGTTGTCAGTAAATTCCAATTTTTTATGTTTTTTTTCTAATTGGAGCTATAAACTCTAGTTAAAAAAAACTATGTCTTTTCAGACCGTTTTACCTTTCAGAGTTTATAGGGGATTAAAAAATTTGAATTTGTATCAAGTGTACAGAGCTGAAAACTTTATAATTGGATATCCTAAATACCGATCGATTCATCGTTGTGATTTAAAGGGACAGACTGGCTATGTGAGGTATTTAAACTGTGTATAAATTGTTGTGGACAAATTCTTTAAAGGTCTCACGCTCTCAAGCTGACAGTTTTGCCGTACATTTAAAGAGCTACAAAAAAGCATAAGCATGAGTTAGAGCGGTAAAATCGAAGCCCACGGCGTTGCGACGCTTCAAAGTCGACCCTGTCTTAAAAAATGATGAGACTGTTTATAAGCAGGCTGAATCTATGTGTAATCTGAATATCCACTGTGGATACTTTTGATATCTGCTTTATCCGCTCTTTTCCCCTCTTCTTGGATATCCTTCCTGGATTCCGACCAATGAGACTTCTCTCATAAAATGGCGTACACAATTTAAAATTCCCGGTTTCTGTTTCGCTGTTCGGGATTCTGCACACACCACTCTGATTGGTCCAATTTTTAAAATAAAGATAAAACTAAAGATTAAAATAATATTAACAAGGAAAGGAGCATATCCACAATTCTAAAATACAACATTGTCATAAATATCCTTTAATCAGGTCTTCTCCAACTTCTTTATCTCCTGAGGTTTCTAGAAGGAGCAGAGACACGTAAAAAAGGTGAAGACAGTTTCACATTTTTGTTTTATTTTGTAGTTTTTATTTTGACTTTTACATTTTTATATCGATGTGGGAAATTGAATTCAGATTAAAATAAGCTGCAGATTAACAAAACAAACTAGAGTTAACGGTGTTTTAGATATAATGTCACTATACAGTTATCATCATGGGGAAAATGTTTATTTGATTTGGAATCATTTGCACAAAGGAAATGAGTCTTTGTCACAAACTTAAATTTTCCAATCCCTATATGTTTTTAACCTGATGTTGTAAGCCTGTGATATTTCAAACTTAGATTATTTGATATATCAGAAATCATAGTTTGAAATATCTAAGTTTTACGACATAGGATTGCAAATGCATACGAATAAAAAAATCATAGTTTGTGGCAAAGACTCAATTCCTTTGTACTCATCTAGTTTCTTTTTTATTTACAGAACAGTGATAAAACAAACTTATCTGATTGCTTTTTAAGGATTGAATATTCCTTCTAAATAGCCCTTCAAAATTTGAATTTGCGTTTGAAAAAAAATGAAATCTAGTCAAGTTTATCGTCTATGTGAATAATTTTTCAACAGTAAATCCCACGTGGACTAAACGCTGTCAAAGTTGGAACACATCATTTATAAAACAGTTTTCCACTAGAAGAAGGTCATAATTTGCTATTTATGGGTTATGTCATGATTAGATTAGATTATATTTTATCTAAAAACACTAACACTAACACTAAAAGATATAAAAGATAATATTGTCTAAGATTAAAAGTTTAACAATTGATTAAATGAGAAATTTGTTGAATAAATGCATTTTTTGAAGAATTAAGGATAATCCTATATATTTATATATATTTAAAGAAAGAAACATTTTTATTTGTTTTGGTTAAAACGTATTTTCTAGATTTTCAGCTAAACAAGTGTTAAAGTAAACAAATCAAAAATCTTCAACACTTTCCATTTACATCATGGGTGTCCCACATTTACAATTTTTGTGATTTCATTGGTTTGAAGAAGCTCAAAAAAAGGCAGACACCAATTTGGAAATCCCAAGAAAATGGGTATTTTGTGCTTGTTAATTTAACAATTTTTACATTACAAATAAGGTTTACTAATGATTTCAAAACTGAAAAATACCTTTAAGTTCGTCTTTTAATTGTCATGTTTTGTGGGACACCCTGTAGTTTAAATGATTCGACTTATTTTCTCAAATCTCATTGTCAAACCTCTGAACTCTTGATTAACTGAAGAGGAGTTTGAGCTGATTTTATTCTAAATAATATCAATACAATGAAAACAACTTTTCTATCTTAGTTTTGATTTCTAACAAGATTTTTTCGAATAACAAGTTTACAAGTAAACAAAGAGAAACTGTTAATCAAAAACCTCTAGTTTTGTATAGATCCATGTTATATGTGTATCCATGCTGTTTGAAAGCTTGGTAAAAATAGAAAATCAAAATCGAAAGTCGTCTCCAGTGTATTGAAATATACGACACGACGACATTATGATATAGGTGTATTGAATGTTTTTGGAAGGAAACGATTAAATCTAGAAAAATGAAAAAATGAAAGCCAGTCGTCTCTGTAGCCTCATACTGTTTTTCATTTTATTTTTATGAAGATGACACAGTGCTATCTTCCAATATATCTTTCTCCCCAAACGAAAACATGATCGCCTCTAAACCGATCAGATCACCAAATACAAGGTAAATAAAGGAACTGAATTTATGCCACAAATTCAAATTTTCTAATCCCTATTTCTTTGCAACCTGACAGTGCAAACCTTTCACCTTTCAAACTTAGACTGTTGATCTAATAGAATTCAAAGTTTGAAATAACAAAGGTATACGACATCGGGTTGCAAAGATATAGGGATCAAACAAGTAGAGTTTATGGTAAAATCTTTTTTCTGCCTAAAAATGAAAAACATTAAGCATAGTTTACCCCAGATATTTTGAGCATTGAAAGAATTAGTAAATTGTCGTGTTGACAATTTTTCAATTGGTTTTATACTATTATACCTAAATCTCAGTAATTGTAAAAATAAATAAATAGCCATTAAATATGCGGGAACAGTTTTAAAGAGCCCTATATAAATAATCATTTAATTAAAAAACACAGAATATCTGCAGCCCTTCCTTATCAGAAAGTTAAGAAAACAACATTTTTTAAATTCTTCCAGTGTCTCTTTATATATGAACTGTAGGTAAATACAATCCCCTTTATTGAACGATACAAAAATGTGTTAAATTTACAAAATGTGTTGATTTCACATGGTAAGAAATGTAATTTTTTTTCAAAAAATGTGATAAATTTACAAAATGTGTTGATTTCATGGTAAGAAATGTATTTTTTTTCAAAAAATGTGATAAATTTACAAAATGTGTTGATTTCATGGTAAGAAATGTATTTTTTTTTTCAAAAAATGTGATAAATTTACAAAATGTGTTGATTTCATGGTTAGAAATGTGATTTTTTCAAAAAAAGGGTCGGGGTTTTCGAAGTTTACAAATAGTTATTTATTATTACAAATGAAAATTCATTCACAAGATGATTTGAATATTTTAGAGGACTTTGGGGAAACATGCATATGCTGAGATCTGGTAGGTCTAATCCTTCAAGTATACAGAGCATACAGGAGAAGAGGGAGAAATCAACGTAAGTTTACCGTTGAACTCCAATTCGAGACAGTTTTTTCAACTTTCAATNCAATTTTTAATAATTTTTTCCCCCAACTTTTTAAGGATAGACCTATTTTCCAATGGAAAGATAACTCTGTGGTATTAAACAATTCTCGAAACATTGAACCATATTGTTTCAGAGGACCCTGGGGAAACTATCACATGTTGAGATCTGGAAGATCGGCAGAATTCCAAGATGGCGGACACATGAAATCGTAAGTAACTATTTAAAGGGACTGATGTTGGTATTTTATCCTTCTAAAGTGAGCCATCAATAAAGGGAAGATATCGCCGTTTTTTTTCAGCTTGATCAGCACTTAATTCCAGCAACTAGAGAGAAACCACAATTGATTTCGGTGTCCGAATTTAATGAATTTGAGCACCGTCTTAAATCCTCCAAAAACCGGTTTCAATTGAGCACCGGCTTAAATCTTGAAACATTTAATACAATTTTAAGTGAAACCAACCATATTTGAGCCGCGGCTTAATTTTAAGCCGCCGCTCAAATTCTTTAAATTCGGCCTCGGGTCACTTGAAAGTCGTCTCTGCACTCTGCACTTGAATTATAAGTTTGAAAAAGGAGGAACTGATGTGATGAAAAAACACTGGAAAAATTGCGTTATTTCATCTTTGATAGATGCCGAGCCTCAAATACTCAGTTTATAACATGAAACAAAACTATTTATTAAATTTATTTATACAGAGGACTCTGGGGTAACTACCACATGCTGCGATCAGGTAGATCTCCACCATCTCTTCAAGTTGAAGATCCAGACAAGAAAACGTGAGTATTTTAAATATTTTCGATTGTGCACTTTATTGCACTTCATTGCACTTTATTGCACTTTATTTCACTTTATTGCACTTCATTGCATTTCATTGCACTTTATTGCAATTCATTGCACTTTATTGCACTTTATTGCACTTCATTGCACTTTATTGCACTTCATTGCACTTCATTGCACTTTATTGCACTTCATTGCACTTTATTGCACTTCATTGCACTTTATTGCACTTCATTGCAATTTATTGCACTTTATTGCACTTCATTGCATTTCAATGCACTTTATTGCACTTCATTGCACTTTATTGCACTTCATTGCACTTTATTGCACTTTATTGCACTTTATTGCACTTCATTGCAATTTATTGCACTTTATTGCACTTCATTGCATTTCAATGCACTTTATTGCACTTCATTGCACTTTATTGCACTTTATTGCACTTCATTGCATTTCAATGCACTTTATTGCACTTCATTGCACTTTATTGCACTTTATTGCACTTCATTGCACCTTATTACACTTCATTGCACTTTATTGCACTTTATTGCACTTCATTGCACTTTATTGCACTTCATCCAGGAGATGGATTTGTTTTCTTCTATTTGAATCTAATCGCGTATATGTGTAAAATTCAACTATCTTTAAACTTGCAAAGTTAAGTTATCTTTTTTTTTAAATACTTTTTTCTTTAAAACGTAAATGCTACGCAAAACAGTATAAAAGAGGAAAAGCGACAAGATCATCTGGGATAAGGACCGAAAGTTTTTTATTAAAAAAAACTGTTTTGCAGTATGAGTTGTTGCCCGTCATAAAACTTCTATGTCTGGACGGTAACTACAGGGTGTCTCAAAAAACATGATAATTCAGTGACGAATTAGATATCGTCTTTGTTATGAATTAACATTGTAATACCTAATTTCAAAAGTCACAATATTATTATGTCTGCTAGAGTTTATTTTATGAAAAGGGTAAAAGACTGTAAAGATGTGTCTATAATGTCTCCTCGAGATGAACAGGGAAGACGGACAAGTTTACTCTGTTTGTATACTGCAATTTTCTTGTTTTACTAAGTTCAACCGTATGCAGTTAGAACATAAACAAACAAAATGTGAACTTAGCAGACGAAAATCTTTCGGGTTATAGCTTTCTCAGTATGCATCACTGTATCTAAATCAAAGAATTATTTATAAAGACGATATCGAATTCGTCACTGAATTCCCATGTTTATTGGGACTCCCTATACAAAAACAGATTATTTCACGTAATAAAAGTTTTCTGCGCACTTCAGTTCTGCGCAAATTTTTTTTGTGCGGAATTGTAATACTAAAGGGTCAGGATAAGGAAACTTTTTGGAACTTTTAGATTTTGTAGAAAAAATATTCAGTTTAATAGTTTCCAACTTTCAGAGGACTTTGGGGTAACTATCATATGCTCAGATCTGGACGGTCAACGACTGAGGATGAAAAAACGTAATAAATAGATTTATTTACTTTTAATAGATCTTAATGTAAAAATTCAAACAAAGATGACATTTCAAAGTTTTTTTAATGACTACAAAGTTTCATACACAACAAAATGCTGTATCTACAAAATGTCATATGTGCAAAATTTGACGTATCTACGAAATGTCATAACTGCAAAATGCTGTATCTACAAAATGTCATAACTGCAAAATGCTGTATCTACAAAATGACAAAACTACAAAATTCCGTATCTACAAAATGTCATACGTGCAAAATGACGTATCTACGAAATGCCATAACTGCAAAATGTTTTATCTGTAAATTATCCTTGAAATGTCTATCAAATAAAATGCTCTAACTATTATACATCCTTTTTTGGTAATTGTCCAATCCATGAAATCCAAAAATACCATTTAATTAAACTTTTAGAGGACTTTGGGGAAACTATCACATGCTGCGATCTGGGAGGTCAATGACGCCAGAAGACCAAGAGGAGAACAAAATGTGAATATAATTTTTTTTAGTACTGTTGTGTAATAAAGCTATGGTTCTCATTATGTTATGTAAGTTCAAGGATTTTAAAAATAAGCTGAATTTAAAAACTAAAAAGTTTGAATCAAAGTTCGTTGGATTATTTTTTTGTTCTTTTTTGAAAAAATGAAAGGGGGTATAGGATACAACCTGATAATCTCAGGCGTTGAATATAAGACATCTATCTGATGTTTCTGTCGCGAGAAATTGATGTAAAACTGTGTCAAAAGTATACCAAAATCTATATACATGAAATTTTGTATAAAAGTAGTAGGTTTAAACAGATCATATTAAGAAAATACGCAAACAATCAGAAAACGATTATATCCCACAGAAACCTGAGAATCTCAGGTTTGCTTCCATTATAATTTTTATTTTTTTATTTTGCATTTATAAGATATAAAATTGATAAAATTATTTAAAAGTCCGTTTTACGTCACAAGAACTTCCGCCAATGAGAGTGCATTATACTGGTCACGTGATACAGACGGAATTCACGTGACCAATATGTGTTATGGTGACGTAATTCGGACTAAACGGAATATATTTAATAACATTATCAATTATATCTATCAAAATGCAAAATAAAAATTAAATGATTATAACAGGAGCAAACCTGAGATTCTCAGGTTTCTGTGGGATATCGTCGTTTTCAGATTGGTTTCGTATTTGCTGAATATGATCTGTTTTTTACTACAACTTTTATACAAAATTGCATATATATATGAATTTTCGTATATATTTGACACAGTATTATATCAGTATTACAGTCTCTTCAAGTCCGAACTTCAGTGTTGTGAATCTTAGGATCAAGTATTGATCTCCATCTTATGTAAATCTACGGATCAATAATTATCCTTCGATGTTATAAATGTTATAAATGGCACGGATAAGTTTAATTCAGGAATTAAGAATTGATCCTCAAATTTAAAAGTGCCCACATTGAATATCGAGATCAAGCAATTAAAATTAACACAAAAATTCCGATCTTGAAGGCAATCTGATAATGTTCAATCAATCCTTCACAAGGTTAAAAATTCTTATTAAACTATTTTCTGACCACTTTTTATATCTAAAAAGTCGGGTTATAATTAAACTGAAAATGCAATTACAAATCAGCCTGCCCCACCTTTTCAACATTGTAAATTTGACGAGTTTTGCACTTTTGACATCTATTTTAATGTTTAGTGGCACTTGGGGAAACTACCATATGCTGAGATCTGGAAGATCAATGTCAAAAAAGGATCAAGATAGAAAAATGTAATTATCAATTTTCAATTGATTCTCTTAGAGTTTCTTCATGATAGAATCTTGACTCAATTTCAAGTGTACATGCTCAATTCACAACAGTACCTGTTCTGTCCTAAAAAATATCATTTCGCTCAATTTTCTCAATTGTCTCTGCTTTTTAAACCCGCAAGTCACTTTTACAGAGACATGGCTGTTGAAAACTATAAAAAGTAGAAGAACAAGAATAAATCAATAATTTTTACTTAGAATGTTAAATGTTTTAAGGGTATTGTTGTGAATCAGGCATTCAACTTTTTAAATGTGGGGTTACTGTAAATTGCAAATTATTTCTCGTATTTTCTAAAGGAATTAAGTCTTTGCAACAAATCCCAATTTTCTAATACCTATACATCTACAACCAAATTATGTAAACCTTTTATATCTTAAACTTTGATTGTTTGATATAACAAAAGTCATAGTTTGAAATATCTAAAGTCTACAACATTGGGTTGTTAAGATATAAGGATTTGAAAATTAGAGTTTGTGGCAAAGACTCAATTCCTTTTCTTAAATCTGAACATCCTTCTTGGTCTCTAAATGTTTACTCCACTGCTTCAGGGGTCTCTGGGGTAACATGCATATGCTGAGATCTGGCCGCTCAGGCCAAGAAGTTGACCAGCCAGCTGAAGATTTGTCAGGTCTAAATCAAAATCTTCCGACCCATCAAGTTCAGAAACGCGGTGGACTCTGGGACTATGGCCGACCTCGGTGGGGCGGAGGTCACATGCTCAGATCTGGCCGGTCAGACCACAGTATGTTAGAGGTTGAACGAATGGCAAACAATCAAAATAATAATGACAGAAATATTGAGTAATTACATATTTGTGATATACTGTTGAATCTAATTCTTTGTCAATACTGATATACATAGACTTATTTTAAGATTATATGTTTATATCAGTATTCACAAAGAATTATATTTATATATAATTTAATAATATATATATATATTCATATATATATTTGTCCTTTATGAACTAGCTGAGAAGATTGACAAGTTCTAGATTGAGAAGCCCAAACTGATGTAACCAAGTCTCAAGTATCCTACATATCGTCCATGTAAAACATGTTATTTATTGATTGTCACAAACCCAATTTTTACTGCCTTAATACAAATATATTATTTTTAGTTCAAAATTATTACTAAAGTAGAGAAATAAAATATT